CTCGTGTTCTTATATACTCCCGTGAATGGCCCAAAGGAGCTTCAACTATACATTTACGTAGGTGGAAGCCACCCTTTACATTGGACAAAAAAATACAAGGGGAATATATTTTTCTAAATTAGAAAAAAATGGATCACCAACAACTTTCCATGACCGTTATTTTTGGCGGTCCTTTTTAGAGGCAATTCCAAACAAAGAAAATTTTACAAACAAATGAAAAAAATTTAACAAACCGTATATCTTCCTTTTAATACATTTCTCCCAAAAGTAAGTGTATAAAACAAACCCAGACTATTCAATATTTATTTACATACACTTTTTAATTAATTTTTATTTTTAATGATTTATATCACTAACCAATAAAAATCTTTTTATAAGAGAACATGTTTACAAAGTACAGAATTTTGTTACATACCTTCTCTCCAACCCTGAAAGGGAAAACTATTGGATATAACAAAAACTGTCTTTACTCACAAGTCCGGCACGTCCTGTTATAAGAGGCTGTGTCTATTCACCTCTTGCAGCCCATTTTGTTTTAGCAGTGTCTACCAGAAGACTACCTTTGTCATGAAGATTCTTTGTTGATTGGTTGTTGAGAGTCACATGGCCGGCTAAGCCCAGTGCATACTAACTAGGTAAGGAGAAGGAAAGTTAACACAACAAATGGTCTGACCAAAGTGAAATAAAGACAGAGCTGTGCAAATTCTAAGTCATTAGATTTTATGTTACAGATATAAACAAAGAAAACCCTTTAGTTTGATCAATGTCATAGAAATAGAAACATAAATAAGGCAAATTGATGAATAAGGGGATAAAAGATAGTCGGAATAGCTTCAACCAACAGAGTTCAAATACTGTGAGAAAGAATACTTGGCATTTATGTTTGTCTGGAAAAATGTATGTTACCTAATAGGGATAGAAACTGACCATTTGTTGCTGGAACAAATTTTAAAAAATAATAAAAAAACTTACTGAATATTCTTCAAGGATCATCCACCTTGAGATGTCTGAAATAAAATGGAAAAGACGCTTTTCCAAAGTTATTTTAAAAGCAAACAGAGCAAAGGGTAATGTAAACAAGATATCCATTTTGTAACAACCAATACAAATAACAAGGAAGCTGTGTTAGCCTAAATATAAAAATAAAATATGAAAATAAAATATTTTAAAAAATCAAATTACAATATGGCATGCTCAGTTAGGCTTTTGCAATATTTTTTAAGTTTTTTTGTTTGTTTGTCTTGAAAGTAGATGTAGATATTAGCACGAATCTATCACGCAGAAAACAACCAATTAAAATAAATGGCTTAAAAGTATAGTGGACTTGTAAGAAAAATAAAAACTTAAAACATCACTGAGAATAACCATAATCTTACTTATTATAAAACGTGTGATTGTGTGTGTGTGTGTGTGTTTTATATATTGGATCGGTTTCCTACATTTTCAAACGATTTCAACAAAAAATTTCACAGGACTACGTAAAATTACTTTGCGGTTGTTCTAACAGCGCCAAAAAATGGAAAAACACAATTGTTTTTTGCACGAAATCAATTTGAAAACACGATTAAGAGGCATCACGAGAATGAAAGGGGGACAACTCATATCGAGTTATACTTATTATAAAACCCAGGTTGTGTGTGTGTGTGTGTGTGTCGTTTATATATGGGATTCGGATTTGGGATCATTTTTTTTTTCAACCGATTTCAACAAAACTTCACTTTTTTTTGGCAGGTAGTGTTTCTTATTGTCTTGCACACTTTTTTTTATTTTTACATTCAGAATGCTTTATAAATTCCATTTACAAGACAATTGTTTATAATAAAATTCTATTCAATCAGTAGACTCATAACGATTGAAAACAATGTTTTTGTTTGAGTTTGGGTTTGACCAATTCGTAAAAAAAAAAAAAAAAAAAAAAAAACTAATTAAGACATGCGTGTCCGTTAACCTTAAACAATAATCTTTGTCAATTTTATTTTTCAGTCTTTATGATGGTCGATACTTGATCTATCTCTTACTGTTACATCCCCGGGCAACGCCGGGCTCTACTGCTAGTAATATATATATATTGAAAATGAATTCTGAAAACAACACAAACAAACAATTTCGAAAAGTAAAGTTTCATATCTCACTTAGTGACTGTTCGTTTTTTACATTTTATTTCTGTGAGTTATTGTATAATTTATTGCATAAAGAATACAGTTGTGGCAAAAAGTCGAAGGGGAAGTGGGGTGAGGTTTGTTGTAACTGACTATAAACCTAGCTAATCTGATTCGCGACCCATTCATTCATTACAATTTTTATTCAAACACCACAAGAATTCATTCATCCGACATACACCACAATACCACGCACCCAAACAAAAGGTGGGTTACTGGAAAACATGTATGATATAAAAAAATTCCAATGTATACGAATGTCTTCTTTTTGATATATATAAAAATATATTACATGAAATGAAGAGGTGGATGAACCCAATAACGGAAATAAAATACAACAAAACATTCAAACTAAAAATATGTTAGTACGACCCGTCCATCCCACTAAAAAAAAATTGAGAGTAGGTAAAACCAAGACGCTTATAGCATCCTGTTACCACTTTTCTTTCAATTCCAATTTCGTGCAAAAAGCGGATCACAGAGCTTATCCAGCTGCATACATATTTTCAGAAAACCTCACCTTCTAATTGATCAATAAACACACAAGTGTGCGTTGCAATTCAACCACTCACAAGTCTTTTTCCAACGCGTGACCAAGTTAAAATTTCGCGCTTCTTTCTCCGGAGCCTCGCACGTGATTACGTTGATTATAAATACCAGGCACAAGTTCGTCCTTTCTCTCTTCTTTTTGATTTCTCTCGCTTACAAAAATGTAGCTGTTTAAGAAATCGCATCTCAACCATTTGCGGGCGCACGCTATGAAAACATTCACACATCACACACATACACGTACGTACGAAACTTAATTACAAACCTTACAGAACATTACAAGCATCAACGTATTACGAATATTCAACTACATGTAACAAAAACTTAATTACAAACATTACGGAACATTTACTTCTTCAACTCTTCTGAAGCTAAAAGTTTATCAACATATTTTCAGCTTTACAGCATTCTTTCAACTCTTTCACAGTGAACATTTTGAGCGGCAAGTTCATTCAACTTTTTATGAGCTCAGATTAAAAAATATTTCATTAGTAAAGACTTTAATTCCAGTCAAAAGGAAGTAACCCCTATGCACTGTATATCATTACAAACATAAATATGAATATTCTTTGTTTGTTATAAAAACCATTTTGTGTTCCTTCTTATTGTTTCATATTTTGTGGTATTTTGCATTAAATATAAATTCGAGAGGTCACACCAACTAACAGGATTCCACACGTTCACTCACTAAAGGTGAAGGAAGGAAAAATAAATTGTGGAGAGAGACCTAGTCAAGACAAAAGGAGAGAATAAAATGCAAACTGGGGATGTTTGGAACTTTGACGTGGATCATGTTATAGACAAGCGTATGGTTGCAAGAAAGAAATACGACAACAGCAGAAATAGATTTACGTGGTTTATTTCAACAGGAACGTGTGGGTTTGGGACAGCTACCTTGTGGTAAAGTTCATAAGCTGGCTTCGGATCTAGGTCGATCTCTCATAGTAGTTCACACATGTTGACGGTGGTTGATGCTACCCTGCTGCTGATCGCTCGGCCTGACCGTGACAGGTCTGTTTTGTGGCCACCTGTTGACTGCCTGTTGAACTTCCGTGTGACCCCTTTTATAGCGTTTTTTTTTTATGGCTTAACAGGCTCGAAAAACGAAGCGAGTATAATTAGGAGGGAAGCATTTTTATTGGACGAAAAATAGAACACTTTAAATATTATTTTATTTTTCGACCGGAACACGTGTGTCGGGAATATTTGTAAATGAAGATAATGGTCATTTTGTGACGGGGTTTTGTCCCGTTCACATATGGCTCTCGCTCTTGAGTATTTGCCTGTAAATCAGCCGAGATATGTCTTATTTTATTTTATAACAATCAACGAAAGAGAATGTCGGGATCAGGCTGGGAACACCAATTATTCATATTAACTAGGCAAAGAGTCTCTAGCTTAACCAGGGGATGAGGTCCGTTGTGTTAAAAAAAGGGTACAAAAAAAAATCAAGTCTAGCTCCGTGCTCGCAAACCAGGATTGCTGCATTTACCCACCTTTCGTTGAAATATGCCGATAGCAAACGCTTTCTATCAGATCTGATCTTCATCTTGAGCTGGTGCCGAAAGAATCCAACCAGATCCTGATGAGAATAACGTTCTTATCGTAAGACTCCCTCCATCCGCGTCGTCCACAACACCATCCTTGCCATGGCTAGCGACATCAGAAACACTATCCGTTTCGCCCAGACCACGGGGGCAACACATTATCGCACGCGTATGCGAGATCAATGGACACGAGATGCGAACCGTCAACTCGCCGACATGCTCCCAGAACGAGCGCACCTGGTGAAGGAAGGAAAAATAAATTGTGGAGAGAGACCTAGTCAAGACAAAAGGAGAGAGTAAAATGCAAACTGGGGATGTTTGGAACTTTGACATGGATCAGCCGTTTCTTCTAAACCAAGAGGTCACAGTCACACCGATGAAAATCGGGTATCTGTTGAGTTATCTTCACCTCACCATAAAATTTAAATATTTTAAAACTATTAATATATTTTTTTCTTTTTAAATGTCTGTTCACGAGTTTTTTATTATTTTTTCGTTGCTGTCAAAAGAAGGGGTTATGTAAATTTTAGGGTGTGTCCTTTTTTTTTTTTACAAATATAGCAGTTGTTTCATTGTTTCCATCAATTACATTTTAATAATAAATAAAAGAAGAAAAAGATAATAACAAGTTTCAAAAGCATTTGTATTATCCGGCTGTCTAAAATGATTAGTACTCTCTTGTTGCTATGGTGGTCGTTACTAAGGAAGCTTCTCTGCACATGGAGCCATTTATTTGTACAACACCATGGCTGGCCTCCAACTAAAAAGCATATCACCTGAAATGTGGGAATACATTAAGGACAATCAAATAGCCGAGATATGTGAGGTAAGACAAATGCGGCAACAAATCTCTACTTCGTTTCTCGTTATTTATTTATTTTTCTTTTCTTTTCTGCACGAGGGAAAACATCGTGGCTCATCTGACAAAGACGTTTAAAAATTAACATATTTTTAGCTTAAACGGTAAACCCCCAATAAAATGGTAGGCCAAATAGAGTTGTACAATAAGTGTTACCAGAAATAATTAATGAATAATAATATCTTCTTTTTTTTTCTTTTTTTTTTCAGATCCCTAAATGATTAATTTAATTAATTAAATTTTGTAAAAAAGTTATGGTCATCCAGTTTCTGTTTGCTATGTAAAAAAATTAATTGTAAAATTTTCCTTACGGAAGCCAAAACAAATACGTTCATACGACTTGATTTCTCAAAAAAAATTTTAAATTCGTAATCTCGTGTTGTTAAATCGGTAATGAAAGAAAAGCGAATACTAGATTACGAATTTACATATTTATTTTAAAATATTTCTTACAATTTACATTTTATGAAATTACGTCGTAATGAGAATATTTGTTTTGGCTTCTGTAGGGGGATCAGTTTACAATGAATTTAACTAACATAGCAAACGGAACCACCTATTAACTTTTATAAATCTAATAGAATTTTATTTGTGAGCTGAAGTGCTTAATAATAGTACAGTTATGAAGAAAAATATGGAAGACGTTATTCCAGAAAACAATCATATCCAAGATCAACACTCAACAACAGAACAGTGAACCAACTGAAAATTCGTACCTAACGTTACTGAGTGAAAAAAAAAATGATTTAAAAGTCAAAAGTTATTTTTGTTGTTTAATTTAATAAAATACATTCTCAAAAATATCTATGTTCAATATTTAGTAATTAGTTTTTAAAAATTTACTTGTAATATTTCAGTGCGATTTTGAAATTCATCCAGTTGGTGTTCATAAAGAGAGATTTTTTATTAACTAAAAAAAAAAATCAACAACAATGTAACAAAAAGGCATGTTTGAAGAATCGAAAGATGTATTGTAAAGTTTAAATGTCGTTTTCATTCATGTATATTTTTTAAAAGACTTTTTTCCCATTCTTACAACTTTCGGAATATTTTTTGTAAGGAAAAAAATTCTGTGACAATAACACTTCAGAATAAGTTTTTATCAATTTTTCCCATTTTAGTTTTTGTAGCACTTTCTTTAATTTATCAAATTTTAAAATCAGAATAATTTAGAAAAGACAACATTGAGCAAAATTAAATATTCTATGACATCAAATTACTAAGAAAATAATCCAAAAATAAAAGGTAATGAGTAAAACTCATTAAAAAAACAAAACAAAAAAACTTTAAAAAAAATATAGAAATAGATAGAGATATAGATAGATAGGCAGGCACAAGGCCGAGTGTTCATAACATTAACTTTCTAACCATGAGACCTGGGTTCAAATCTCATCATGGTCGATTTGTCAGGAAGGAGGCTTCTTGATGTTATTAGTCTGGAGGAGGTGATCCTAGTGTGCAGCACCTTTGGAAAGTGCCTGAAAACCATACCACGGTTTGACCCAAGCCTTGTGAGTGAAAGTGGGTAGACGGAACCCTTGGGGGCCGTCAATAGCTGTGTTAGTCCTTGTGACCAAGGGTTTGAGCATGCTGGTCTTGTTCAGATTGTTGATCATGCTTGATAACACAGTCTGTACCAGAAACTATAACTAAGGTCTACTCACCTGAGTAATTAGTTGCAGTATAAGCGAGCCACCCTAGTAGACGGGTATCCTCAAATATGAGTGGTCAGTCATAATTATTATTATTATGATTATATATATATATATATATATATATATATATATATATATATATTGTCATCCACAGTCTCATCAGTGTGGCTAGACATCCGGTTGCCTCTAGCTAGGATCGAAAACCGATTAAATTGGCGTCAGTTGGGGATTCTACCACTAAGCCGTTGGCGCACGGCAGGGATGAAGCTGAATTTTAAGAGTATTTATTTTTTGATAAACACACAGTGACTGAGAGAACTCAATTCGATTTACCGGAGAGTCTTGCATTATTGGCCGTAATAGTCACTGTTTACAAACTCACACTTCCTCCCCAGAGAGCTCAACCGACATAAATTTTTCAGGAGCATATATATATATATATATATATATATATATATATATATCACTGCAGTTGTCAACAATTGCGTAAAAGCTTGAAATTTAAAGTTGAGGCCTGTACGCCTGAAAGGTGATTATTAATTTAGAAAAGCTCAGCTATTTTATATCATATGGAACACTTTTTTTTCCAGTGTGCATTTATGGCAGACTCTTTTTAAGAGCTGCTTATTTCTTTTAATATATATGTAGTCATGGTCACAATTATTGGCATCCATGAAATTTCAGTACATAATGTTGAATATCTCCTGAAAAGAAAAACAAATCTAGTGAAACAGCTTTAGTCTATTGATAACTCATCAGTGATAAAGAACAACAAATGAAAACAAGTTTTAAAAACCAACAGAAGATGAAAAAATAGAAAAACTGAAAGAATACTATGGCACTGGTATTGGCACCCTTTAAAAAAATAATTTTTTAAAAATGGGTAAAAAAACATTTTAATTCATTTGTGATAATCAGAAATTAGAACCAACCTTAGTAAACTGTCTGTGCACACATGACAGTAATAAGTCAATGAATGATGACATCCATGTTTTAAAATTCCACATGTCATTCCCTGATTCTTGGTCCCAATGGTAAAGATGTCCTATGATTAGTAAGCACAAGATGTCTAAGAGGTATAAGGCCATCTCCAAGGATTTTGTTATCCTTGTTTCAACAATGCACAATATTATTAAGAAGTTTGCTAAGCATAGAACTATTAAGAACCTTCCTGGACATGACAGTAAGAAGAAAATTGATGAAAGAAGTCTTTGAAGGTTGGTGAGAACCATGTAAATAAAACATTATGTTAAACATTCAAACCTGAAAGCCAACCAGGTACAATCTGAGGTGACTGTCTCAACATGTACCATATGGTATACACTAAACCAAGCAGGGCTTTATGGGTGAAGAATGGGTGAAGAAAACTCCATTACAGAAGAAAAGACATGAAAAGGAACAACTGAACTGTATCTGAATACACCACAATCTTTCTGGAAAAAATGTTCTGTGGACAGATGAAACATAAATAGAGCATCTTATCAATGAACACCAACATGTTTATAGATAGCAACATAAACATGTGTTAATCACACTTTCATCAGTTATAATATTATTCCAAAACTTCAATTTTTTAATTATCAGAAAATCTTTTCTACAAACAAAAACAAAATCAACTTCCCCCATGCCATTTCAAAGGTATATGTTTACACAAATGGTTTGTCTGTAGTGAAAATAGTTTACTATGAAAAATTACCTTGAATCTCTTTAGCAGTACAACCTGCCTTGTGATGAGCCATAGATCATGTGGCCCATTGCTTGAAAAAAATTGTCCATGCCTGATATAGACATTTAGGACATAGAAATTAAAAATGAATGGTTACTATAACATGAATTGAAGATCATTTGAGATGTGAAACTGACAATCACCATGTAGTGTTGGTTTCTGTATTCACACACAGGGCTAGCATGTACTACCCTCCCACTGACCAAGAGGAGACAAGCCTGATTAGGGGTCCTTGCTATCTTATCTACATTTACTTTTTTTTACCTACATCTATTAATTGAATTAAGCCTAACTGACTATTAAAGCATGAAAAATTTTTGCAGATTTTGAAATCATTCTGGTGTTTTTTATTTTTTTTGCCTAAATCTGTGTATTTTTTTTTTTTTGTTTTGCTTGTGCTAAATCTAAAAAAAAGCATTATATAAAATCACTATTTTTATCCATAATGTTGAATTTAACAAAAAAAATCTCAGGTTCACATTAAAAATTGCCACAAAACGTTGTTGATTTATTAAATTAAGAAGATGGTATGATCTATTGTGACATGTCTCTTTTTCAATTTTTCTAGTTGAATTTTTCATCTATATTGCATATGATCCATTATTGTACATAATTAGGTTACAATAAAATTTGTATTTTATATGAACACTACTTTTATGAAAATTGAGATTTCGTAGAGTGGGGTCTCCCCATAAAAATAGATTTGGGGTGGGGCACATGAGACTGTTGCACTGGCCCTATTCACACAAACACACACAATATATATATATATATATATATATATATATATATATATATATATATATATATATATATATATATATATATATATATATATTTATTTATCTATCTATATATATATATATATAGATAATATTAGTGGTATATATACATACATATGCAAAATATATAAATACCCATACATGTATTTTTTTTTAATAAAAATTCCAAGAGGATAGAATCCAGGTAGAACTCACTGTTAAGGTTTAATCTCCCCCCTTCTCTAGTATGTTACCCCTCATACTTACACTCTCTCTAAATTCTGTTTTTATTTCCGGAGTAGTTTTTTCTGTTTTCTTTTTGAATTTGTAGGTCTGATGAATTGGATCGTATTTACGATTCCAATGGAATAAATTATGACCAAGGAATATTAGTGTTTAAGCCTTTTTATTATATTATATATATATATATATATTTATCTAGCTATCTATACATATATATTATATATATATATTTATATCTCTCTCTCTATATATATATTATATATATATATATTTATATTTATCTATCTATCTATACATATATATGTATATTTATATTTATCTCTCTCTATATATATATATATATATATATATATATATATTTATATTTATCTCTCTCTCTATAAATATATATTATATATATATATATTTATATTTATCTATCTATACATATTATATATATATATTTATATTTATCTCTCTCTATATATATATTATATATATATATATATTTATATTTATCTATCTATACATATTATATATATATATATTTATATTTATCTCTATATATATATTATATATATATATATTATATTTATCTATCTATACATATTATATATATATATTTATATTTATCTCTCTCTCTCTATATATATATATATATATATATATATATATATATATATATATATATATATATATATATATATATATATATATATATATATATATATATATAAGATATCACATTGAGTGCTGGTGTTAATAAAATAGTGCTCAATGTAATATAACAGAGTTATTAAGTATATATTAATAAATATACATATTATCCCTCACCAGTATCACAACTAGGAGTTTCACGCACAACACACTCTTCAGGTGCTGGGTAGAGACTGACTGTTACATAATTTAAATTTTAATAAAAATATCTGGTTATTGTTGGTGCAGTTCATATATTATATGGGGATTACGGATTTTATTTTTAGAAATATATATAGCATTAAAATAGAGGGGATTTGTATTTTATCTTTAAGATAAACTGGGATTAATATTTTATTTTATATTTAAAATAAACAGGGATTAATGGTATTTATTAAAAAATATATATTAAAATAGATGGACCTAAAACTAAAATTAAAAAGAAATAAAAATAATTTTTATTTAAAGTTGTGATTTATATTTTATATTAAACATAAAGTGGAATTACTGTTTTTTTTTTTTAATTTTGTTAAAATTTTACATATGAAAAAAAAAACGGACCTAAAACCATAAAAAATATTTTATATTTAAGATATGTGGGATTTATGATTTATACTTAAGATAAAATTTTTGTTTTATATTATATTTAAAACAAATTTAAATCATGTAACAGTCAGTCTCTACCCAGCACCTGAAGATTGTGCTGTGCATGAAACTCTGAGTCATGCTACTGGTGAGGATATATTTATTAATTTATATTATATATATATATATATATATATATATATATATATATATATATATATATATATATATATATATATATATATGTATATATATATATGTATATATTTGAATATATAAAATATATATATTAAAAAAAGTAAAATAAAATTTTCAAACATTCGGTTGTATATTAATATTTTTGTTTTATTATTTAAATTAGATTCCTTGACTAATTTCGGCCAGCATAGCCATCATCAGGAGAAAAAATCCCTTCTTGTTAGTAGCAGTGAACTACAGGAGTGAATGACTTTCTCTGAAGAAAGTGAACTTTAATTTTTTAGTTTTCATTTGTTTTTTTATCATTAATTTTAGTCACTCCTTGTATTGGTTAAATGGCCTCTTTCATGTTTTTTTATATATATATATATCTATATGTGTATTGTATTTGATGATCAAATCATTCCTTTTATTATTTCAGGCTCTTCTGACAGGCTTAGCAGTGATGTGTCCACAAGACCCACATAAATTTATCATTGACAAACTGAAATATATAAAAGAAAATGGTCTGGAGTGTATTCAATGGTAAGGCATTTTTGTATAAATTTTTGATGATGCTTTAATTATAACATTTAATAAACTTTAAAAATTTACATTATTGATAATCATTTTTATGCTGTAAAAATAAAAGCAAAACAATAAAAAAAACCTTGAAATAATTTTCTCTTATGTTGTAAGATTAAAAAAAGGATTTTTTATTATGGATTGCTGCTGGCTGGATGATTGATTTGTTATGAGTCATTTAATGCTGAAATTTAATTTCCTTGGGAACTTTGAAGTAATAAAAATATGATTTTATTCTGCTTTCACAATTGAATACATGGTAGATGATACACAGCTTTTGTGTATATACATGTTTGTATAGACATGATTACTAGAGACAATAATGTGTGTGTTTTATGTTGTAGTTTTGTTGAAGTTATATTTTGGAATACAGTTTGATTTCTTTAAGAAATTGTAGGATATTATATGGATTAATGTCATGAAAGATTTCTTTCATGTTTTATTTTATTTAGTGACATAGCAACCTCTATGGGTTATTTAATGCCAGAATTTAAATATTTTAAACACAATTTTATGGATTCAGCTAAATATATTTTGAATGTAATTGTATGCCTTCAACTACAGATAAAATGTATTTTTGGTAATTTTATTATATAAAAATATATTGTTGGTATTTTTACCATAAAAATATATTTTTATACTTTCATAGTGTTTTGTTTTTGTTTGGGGGTTCACTATTTGACTGTAGCTGGGACCTTAACAGGTGCTTCTATCCCAGGTCAGGATGGACCTGAGAACAACAGCAATTAAGATGTGGTTCCATGTTCCTCAAAACCTACAATCTCCTGATCAGAGGCCTTGCTGCTGCATCCAGTTTATCATCATACCCTTTTGTTATTCCTTCTTCAATGTCTATTTCTCTTCTGATACTTGACATGTTTGTTCGAATAGTCATAATAATAATGAGAAAAACTTCATTAAAAATATAGGTACTAATAAACAATTTAAAAATAAATTAGTATAATTAAGCAGCATTTGTTCTTCTAAACAAGTTTTATTAAAAAGTATAGGCATTCTACAGTGAATGTTGGACAGTTTTCACAAAGATGAAGAAGAAACCTGAGGCAACAGAAATATGATTCTACAGAAGGATGCTGAGAATACCATAGACCGAGCATATGGGCAACAACAAAGTTTTAGAGAAAATGGAAACAAAAAGGACACTTATACTTAACATCAGAAAGAGATAGTTGAAATTTCTATGGCACATAATGAGGAAAGAAGGCCTAGAATATTTGACACTCACAGAACATAGCGAAGGCAAGAAAGACAGAACACAGAACATAACCTACCTAAGAAGCTTGTGTAAATGGTTGGCAGAATGGGGTTTAGGAAAGATAGCAAAAAGGCAAAATTTGCTAAGAGCTACAAAGAACAGGAAATTGTGGAGAGCAATGATTGTCATCCTCCTGAAGGGACATAGTACATGGAAGAAGATTTACATTACTCTAATAGTCACTGAGGCTTTTATTAAGGAACAACGATTTAGCCTTGAGATCCACACACATATCAATGAGTCCATCTTGGAAGTTTGATTCAGTGCCTGCCTTTTCTATTTCTAAATCAAATGTCAGGTATGTGCATTTTATGAATCTCTTACAGATTGGGTTCTATAGCCTTGGATGGCAACTGGTCTACTGCAGAAAGAAATGATAACATACTGTGGGAAAAAATCTGCCTCATCAGTCATGTATTGAAAGATACCTAAGTGTGTATCATGTATGGCACATAACTGACTGACTGAATTTTTCCAAAGTCTTTCTCTGAATTTTCCATTCATGAATGTCTTTCTGTCACAGTCTGAAATTGTTATTTCTTAACTTAAACAAATGACAAGTTTTTGGTTAAAAAAAAAACTAATTCCAAGGCATTTATCAACTCCTTTTGACCTCCCCAGTTATTTACTAATTCCCTTACCTCCCAGGTATTTATCAACCCCTTTTTGATCAGGCATTTCTCAAAAGCACTGGATACAGGGCCAGATTTAGATGAAGAGAAGCCCTGGGCTATTCCACCTGTGAAGACCCTCCAAATCCCCAATTCTCATGAGTAGAGGAAAATGGAAGAGTGTTAAATTAAGCAATTTGAGTAAAGCCGAGGATGATGACCGGTGTTTAAAATTAGTGAAGGGTTGTTTCAAGTCTACAATGCATTATGTAAGAAAGGCCCATGACAGTATCAAAAATATTATACACCTTGGCTGGAGGCCCCCCACAAGACTTTGAAGCCCTAAGCTTCAGCCTGCTAAACCTATAGGTAAATCTGGCACTGAGCAAATAATCCCCATAAATGTTCAAGGATTTATATCGACCACTTAGATAATTGAGCTACAAAAACTGTCATGAATGGGTTGAGTTCAAATTTGTATTCTCTCTGCCACCATTTCTTTCAGACAATTTTCAGCACTGTATTGTAGTAGTAGTTATATTCTTAAGTTGTTTTTAGTTTAAATGTGTGATAAAAAGCAACAAATAAGCTGAAAATGAATTTAAGAATTTGAAGTTTTACCTAAAAATCAAGGGAATTTAACCAGTGTACACAAAAAGAATCTAATGTGTACTTTTTTACTGTTCTTTGTGAACTAGAGTACAGACCACAGGCAAGACACAAAGTTTTATAGTAAGTCATTTTTTTTATTGTTTAAATTCTCAAAATTTTGTGGTAGCACCTCTTATGTGCAATAAGGAAACATTTCTACTTTTATAAAATATCTCTATAAGTTTAAAAGTAAAATTATATAATAAATGGCTCACAGACTTTCCAGACTTTCATCTTATTACTCTCCTCTTGAATTGTGAGTTAATAATACATTCTTTAGCCTCTTTCCTGGTGTAGGCATGTATATGTTTTCACTGAAAGTGTCTTTTTCAGACACAGCCAAATAAACACATCCAAAACATAACATTCAAAAACTAGCTACAGACATGTTTATACATTGATCTTGATTCTTTTTATATCCTTTTGAACTTGAAATGTCCAGTCGTCAAGTCATACATCTGGTAGAGGTGTTAGCCATGGTTTGGATACTTCAAGGTGCCTTAGTTTCTTAGTTACTCTATTAAAAACAAATAAAAAATTTGTCTGAAAATGAAACGTTTCTCCTAAAATAATTGGCAGGGAAGGGGTTAAAATCTTTTTCTTCGGTGAATCATTTGTAAAAGAATGAAAGAAAATAGTTTTGGCATCTTGCCAATTTTAAGAATGTCAGTGTTCTACCATCAGTTGTTTTACTGTATTGTCTATTTTTGTCCTTTTGTGTTATGTGATAATTAACAAAAGAGAGAGAGAGAGAGAGAGAGAGAGAGAGAGAGAGAGAGAGGGAGGGAGGGAAAGGGAGAGAGAGAGAGGACAAGAAAAGTGTACAAGAAAACTTAAACAATTGCTCAAATTATTATCATATAGGAATTTACTTTTTATTTGGTTCTAAAATCTAATGACACAACAACGACAGCCAATATTGAAAAAGATGCTATTTTGAAAAGGGACAAATAAAGTATTGAAAAAGTTTTATTACATCAAAATCATTAAGAATGTTGCATCAATATTGTTTTCAATTTTTTATTAGATTATCATTATTATTTTAAAAAAATGATTGACATAATTCTTTCAATATTTTCAACACAAAGCACAATTTAAGAAAAGAAAAAAAGACAGTGTTTAACAATGTTCACCAATATTTTGACAGTATGTCTGCCTTCAAGTTATGTTTAAAAATTGCATACACTATTAATTTAATTTTAATTTAAATTTGTTAAACCCTGTCTTTCTTTTCCTTTTCTTAAATCATGCTCTTCTTTAAGTGTTTATTATTATTATCATTATCATCATCATCATCATCATCATCATCATCATCATCATCATCATTATCATTCTCATTATTATTATTATTGATTTTGACTCACAGTAAATATGAGTCAAAATGAATAATGTTAAATATGTTATTCTTCACTTTTAAAAAGTTGATTTTTATTATTATAAATGTTATTTTAGTGAATACATGAATTTGAATAGACACCCCCATTTTTTAAACAGTGAAATTAATGTCCATCGTCTTAGACAACAGAAAGTCTTATTAAAGAAAATTTACCTCTGAGGTGATGATTTTGTTGCATAGTAACATCAAAATATTGACCAGAATTTTATATTCTAAAAATAAGTTCATCTAAACATTGGTTTTTATTTTAAAGATTTAAAAAAAAAACAGACTTTAAAGATGTTAATATATATACAAATGGAAAATAAAATTGCAGTACTCTGAAAGACAATACTGATTTTAACTTGGTATGGTATCAGCAAGTAAGTGGATAGTAAATAGTCTGATAAAATTTTCAGTCTTTGGCTATCTTGTAACGTAGTCTTGTGATCATACCAATGCATCATTGTAATAGTGGCCTTACCATTAACAAGAAAAAAATAGAAGTAACAACTTGAACTTTGTGCTTGCCATCTTTTTTTGTTCCTCCTGTTTTTCTTTGTTCCTTGTTTTTTTCTTATCCCCTTTTGTAATTTAAAAAAAAATTTCAAGAGGTAAAAAAAGAAAAATGTTAAAAATGCACACACACACACACACACACACTATATATATATATATATATATATATATATATATATAATATATATATATAAATTATCCAATAACTTCGAAAATTATCAAAAATAGCAAAGAGGATAATTGCTTGAATATTTTGTTGAATAATATTCAAGAAATTCTTCTTTATAATTTGCTTGCTTTCATTATTCTATCAAAATGAACTGAAATAAAATAAAATAATTGAATATTTAGATAGTTTCTAGATTTTTCTTATTGACTTTGAAATTGCTTAAAAACAACATTAATTTAAAAAAATAATTATCTACAATATTTGCATGCAACCTATTGTCTTCATCTTTATTTTTTTGTAGCACAACATTTTGGACATTCAATCTCCAGTCCAGACAGTGTGTACTTGGACTTGGTGGAAACAAAACAAGTAATAAGTGAACAGTACTAAAAATAAAAACTAGCTGAGATATCCCTAGATATGGACAGTGGAACAAGAACAGTCTACCTCAGTAAATTAAATAAAGTGTTCAGTTTGGAATTCCCTGTAAGTTACCCAGATCTATATGCACCAGATGAAGGCCGGAGGGCACAATGGCTGAAATATTGAGATAACAACAAAAGTGAGGACAATAGTCCACATGTAGATAGTTTAAATAATAATAATAAAATTAAAAATATCTCCTTATCCCATAAATTCAAACAGAAATTACCAAAATATTATTCCAAATGCAGTGGAATAAAATAAACGTTTGTTATATCAAAAGCCATCATTGACACTAGACTGAATTCTAGAAGCAACTAACATGGGAAGATCTCATCAGCAATTATCATGAGTAGTTTTAACCTTTGAAAATTTCACAGTTTTTCTATTTTAATATTCTAATGAATCTTAATTCTTAAGTTAACAATTGTGTAAGTTCATGGTGAGTTTTATGACAATAAAATATCCGTAATAATTCTCCTATCACATTGTTAAATATTTGAGCTTAATAACTTTAACAAAATATTGCAATAATTATTGTTATTTTAAGAAGTGGGTACAAATGAAAAGATTTAAAATTGATGACTTTTTCCATTTCACTGAAACAACTGTCAAACACTTCTATCTTCCCTTCTGTCTTTCTTTCTTTCTTTCATTCTGTCCCTGAAACTAAGTAGTGTCTTTGATATCTTTTGTCTTCTCATGCAATCAAAAAGGAATAGTCTATTATTTATAAGGTATTAGCAAGAGGCATTAAACACTTCTATATTTATTTATTTTCTTCACTGAAACCAAGTAGCATCTTTGATATAATCAAAATGGAATAGTCCATTATTTTTGAGGCATTGGCAAGGCATAATGGTCATGTGAACTAATGAAGGGAGGGACAAACACAATTATAATAGGATACTAACATGCTAACATTTACTGCATAACTTTTGTGTTTTTAGTAATTTGTGTTTTTTAGTAATTTCACTTGGTTATGAAAAGAGTTGGAATTTGTTTTTTTTTCTTTTACACAGGGATATGTTTGTGGAAGAGCACATGCGACCAAAAAAGCGATTTATGTCAAATCGAGGCTTTGACTTTCTATTTGGGGCTGAAGAAGAAGATAAAGTAAGATTTATGAGCTAAATTTCACAATTTCTTGGCAAATTGAAAATTCTAATTGATTTTAATTATATTTTATGTGAAGCATTTTAATTATAAATTCAGACAATTAAAGACTATTATGTCTATTAAAGACTATTATGTCTATTAAAGACTATTATTTCTACTTGTGGGAATGGGGAAAAGCAAATCTTACCTTGAAAAAGAATTTGCAATCTCTGACTTGTTTATCGAAAAGAAAATCAAAATTGGTTCTACTTTTGTAAGTCTTTGAAATATGGTAATTTTTGTGCTTGCCTACCAGTCTCAACTAATCAAGGCCTCGAATTATATCATTGAAGTAGAAACCGAATCTTAAACAGGAAACAAGAGATAAACCTCTACTCCTGTTCAAAAGACCAGAGAGTATGAACTGGGCAATAGGTGAACCTATCAACTATTGTCTATTGAGAATTCTTTGTCGGGGAAGCAGGCAAATTTCTAGTTTTAAGTATTTACTTGACAGCTAAAAATGATCTATTTCTCAAAACAAATTTATGAAATATGTGGAAAAAAATCATTATACAAATTTAAATGGTTATATGAAATTTCAATGTTTAGACATTTCATTGTTTGAGTGTCTTCCAGAGTTATCTCCCTTTTTATTGAATTGTTCAACTGAAAGAGCCAACCTATGGGCAGATAACTCTAAAAAATTTAATTAAACTTATTTGCTCATTTAATGTAAGGAATTAATGTGTACATAGAAATTATGAATCATAAATTTATATATACACATTATTTATTTATTATTTTTTATCAACATCAATAGTTAGGTAGATATAAATTTTTTAATTGTAGTTGATCAATACTTCATAACAATGATTGATTCTGTTACAATCATTACTTCTAGCTCAACCAAAAAGCAGTGGAAATCAAAATTTTTGCATGTAAATGACAAGCAAACAAATCTTCCATTGTTTAAAATAAAAACAATGTATTTTTACAAAAATTACAATTATGGGAAACTGTAAGAGTGTGTGTGCTTTGTTATTGTGTGTATGTGTGTGCTTTATCGTTGTGTTAGTATATACTAGCAGTAGAGCCCGGCGTTGCCTGGGGATGTAACAGTAAGAGATAGATCAAGTATCCACCATCATAAAGACTGAAAAATAAAATTGACAAAGATTATTGTTTAAGGTTGACGGACACGCATGTGTTAATTAGGTTTTGTTTTTTTTGTTTTTTTTTTTACGAATTGGTCAAACCCAAATTCAAACAAAAACATTGTTTACAATCATTATGAGTCTATCGATTGGTGAATAGAATTTTATTATAAACAATTGTCTTGTAAATGGAATTTTAAAGCATTCTGAATGTATAAATAAAGAAAAAAAGTAAAAAGACAATAAGAAATACTACCTGCCAAAAAAAAGTGGATGTTTGTTTTATCGGTTGAAAATGTAAGAAATCCAATCCCATATATAAAGGAACACACACACACACACACACACACACACACACACACACACACACACACACACACACACACAACCTTTTTTTTACCTAAGTCACTCGACGGAATCGCTAAAACATAGAGCATAGTCTGATGAAAAAGACGCCAAAGTTTATGAAAACAAAATTTTATCGTCAAAATACTTATGTTTTTATGAAGAGGATAGACTAAATTTTTTTAATTATTTTTAAAAATTTTTCCATCTTTTAGAATATTCTAAATTTTGATTTAAAAACCTTGTTTCTTTTTGTCGCAACAAGGGTAGTAAATAACATAGATAATTTTAGCGCGTTTTTTGTATTTACACACATTAATTTGGAAAATCTTGCAAAAATAAAAATAATTGTCAGATGTTAATGAAACTTTCAGAAACTATTCACAGATGATCAAAATTATTATAAATATGTTTTTTTTTTTTTTTATTAAAGTCATGGCAGAAATATTTTTTTTTATATTTATTAACACCCCCATAACTAATTTTATGAAAAACTCTAGAAATTCGAGACCATCAGTTTTAGTGATTACAATAGTTAAAAGCACAAGGCTTTGAAGAATGCAAATCATGTTTTTTTTTGTTTTTTTTGGCCAACGTACCTGAAAATCAGCTGTGAATTGTAACATACAAAACTCAATAAAACAAATATATTATTTAGTTTCAAATGCTTTTATTTATTTTAATTTGTTTTTATGAATATGGACAATATTTTCTGAAAGCAACAAATTTTTTCAATGAAAATTGAATTTTTAATACAATTATTTCTTATTTCTTTAATTTTAAAAAGATTTTTAAAAATTTTAAATTGAATTTTTAAAAATATTTTAACATTAGTTAAAAGCAACATCAACCTTTCAAAATGTCCGTGTGAGATTGTCATTGTCTAGCGCTTTGAAAATTGTATAAGTTGGACCAATCAGATTAGCCATGGTAATTAAGAAATGTAATTTTGTGTTTATAGTCGGACAGTAATTATCAAGTACGGAAGACCAACCAGAATACAATTTAGTTGCATTATTTGAGTTCAGCATTGTTCTCTGCTGTTAAGCCCTTTACTTTTATGAAACACGTATGGAGAAGTTAATTTGAGTTTTCAATTTCAACTGAGAAGGGTACCTACAAGTAACAGTATCATCTTATGAAATTTAACTACTGCTAAACTTTAATTTATATGATCTTATTTTTATATTAATCTCAGTTATGACATTTTTTTCCATAAATGAAATATCAAAATTAATAATAAAATGAATGGAAATACAAATAACACAGTAAAATGTAATAAATGTACATAAAATTATAGTATTTTATGTAATATTTCTGATAAAATTTCATAAGAAAGGTACCTAAATTAATTAGATACCTTTTTCTTATGAAATTTAATCTCACTATTAACAGTCTTATTCGTAGAAAGAATTATCCTCCCGTAAGTTATCTAAACATCATGAATGTGCTTTTCCCGTCAATCGCTGCGAATGTGAAAGGTTATGACCTGCTTTGTTTTATTTTCAAATTACATTTTTTAGGCGCAGAAGCTAAGTTAAGCTTGGTTCAAAATATTTTAAATAAACAGTATAATTTCTGTTTTTATTAAAATCAGTTTTGAAAAAATGATAATTGATTTTTAAAAGAATATCAAAGTCAGATTTTAATCTTTTTTATCAAATCGAAAAAAATGATTGAAAATGATTGATTATCTGTCCTTTTTTTGACCAAAAAAAACAATATTTTTAACGAAAATTTCAGACGTGCTAGGAACGATTAAAAAATGTAAAAAATAATTTCCCAAATACTTTGATCTTTCCTCTTTAATAATAATATGAACATTAGAGGATAAAATTTTGTTTTCGTCAAGTTCGGCTTTTTTTTCATCATGCTATGCTCTTTTGTTTACATTTTCGTGGGTGAGTTGTCCCCCTTTCATTCTCACGATGTGTCTTAATCATGTTTTCAAATTGATTTTGTGAAAAAACAATTTTGTTTTTCCCATTTTCGGCACTGTTAGAACCATCACAAGGTAATTTTATGTAGTCCTGTGAAGTTTTGTTGAAATCGGCTAAAAAATGTACGAAATTCGATCCAATATATAAACAGACACACACACACACACAATCTGCGTTTTATAATAAGTAAGATGTGTGATACACACTTGTGTGCATATGTGAAAATTCAATCATTTGTTCGAAAGAAGTCTTCCCCTGTGGGGACAAAGGCTCATCTGTCAATACTACTACATCTTGGAGGAAAAGAAAAAAAGAGAATGAGAAAGCTTGTGTGTTCAATCTTTTATAGTCCTTAAACAGTGCCACCTAATAGGCATCCTAGCAAACCAAGTGGAGGTAATCCCTACAATCCTTATAAGAAGATAATATAAATTGTACATTTATTTCTTTAGTAGATAAAACTGCATTAGATCTGACATTCTGTCATGCTCAACAATGTGAAAAAGTGATTGATAGGAAAATGCAAGATAGATTTAATTCAAAAGAAGATGCACTTTTTGTGGGATGGTCATCAAATCTTTACTGAGCTGAGAGTTTTAAGAGGAAAAAGGTTACTAGCATTTGAGTCTTTGGTGTACATTTGCTAAATTGTACTGAAAATTTTAGATATTTGTTATTAAAAACAAACAGCAAATTTATCATCATTTAACTACATGCGTTATACTCATTAGATTTTTAAACAGTTCAAATAAAGAGAAATATATTAAATGTTTGTCAATGTTCCTTCTTTTGTGTGTAAGGAAGAAAAGATATTTTTGTATTAATTCGACTTGTAAGCTTAAAGTCTCTGAAATCAGATATATTTCAAAGTAGTTGTTTGAAAGTAATAAATAAAGTTCAACTGAAAAAGTTTTTGCTTACTGTTAATAACTATGATTTGAAGTGGTTTGCTTTGACATCAGATTTCTCCCTAACATAGGAATGTTTGAAAGATAAATGTTGGTGTTGCTACATAAAATTTTGTTGTTTTCTTTCTTCTCCCTAAGTGAGTCAGGACTTTCTGACAACCTAATATTTTATTCAATTTTTTAAATTTTTATTAAATAATTTATTATTATTATTATTATTATTATTATTATTATTATTATTGTTATCATTATTAATTCCTACATATTACAGCAGTAAAATTTAGCATCCTTAAAGAACTATATTTATTTTATATATTTATTATATTAATCATGTCATAAATTAAGAAAATATATTGAATACTGTTGCTAATCTTCATTTTAGCCAACATCTGAGATGTTTTCAAAGGCCTATGAATACTTTAATACTCAACTGAAGCAAAAGGGATTAAAGTAAGTAAATATACTGTCTTCATTTCTCTTTGTAATTTTTATATTCCTTAGGCAAAAATAGACTTATTTTCTTGCATCTTAAATAATTTATTTTTCTAATACTTTTTTCTCGCTATCCAATTAATCTAAACTTCTGAAGTAGCTGAAATCATCTGAAAGTTTTTGTGACTTTAGAGATAATGTTTATTTTATTACTGTATTTATATTTATATATGTTTATTTTATTACTGTATTTATATATTTATTTAGATATACTATTTATTTTATTACTGTAAGAAATGGAGAATCATTCTCTGGACCATTTATTTTTATATAGTTATTTATTTTTATATAGTCATTTATTTTATACAGTCATTTATTTTTATATAGTTATTTATTTTTATATAGTCATTTATTTTATACAGTCATTTATTTTTATATAGTTGTTTATTTTTATATAGTCATTTATTTTATACAGTCATTTATTTTTATATAGTTGTTTATTTTATATAGTCATTTATTTTTTATTTTTTTATATAGTTATTTTGAACATAATGTTCAGAGTTAATATTAAATATATGAAAATGGCTGTCTCTCAACTTCTACTTTATTTCTTTGAAAATGATCAACAATGGTCAAAAATACTGTTGTGGGACTCACAACTTTTGTTGCAATGTGTGGATGTTTTTAAGTAAATATTAAAGGCTCCTAGTACATTTGTCCCATGAACAATATTTGGCAGACTCATGTGAGTTCAGATAAATATAAGATCAAAACATGGAATTTAAAACAAACAACAATTAATACATGTATTAACAAAAAGAAATTATATTAATGTGTATACAGTTGAAAGGAAGGAAAAAGACATTGAAAACTTAGCTGTGCTTGTTTGTGTATATGATACAATCATGTGTGATGCACACATGTATATGTGTGTATATGTGAGAGTTCAATTGTCAGAGAACCGGAGAAATGAATGAGCCACAGTGGGACTGCTGCCTAAGTATACTATATTTAAACATGGAAATTGTAGATGTGTTAATAAAGTAAAATGCATTGTAAAAATGTTATTTTATTTATTGTTACTTTTATTGTAAATCAGAGTTAGACAATATTTTATAATGCAATTTTAATTTAAGAATTTTCCAGAGAATAATAAGCATTACAGTTTTAAACAATATTCATGAAATTTATCTCAAAATTATTGCTATAAACATGGATATAGGTCTTTATTTTTAAAAATTCAGCTGAAAAAAAATGTTTACCAATCATTTAGACATAGTGTCAAAAGGATGTTTTTTTCCATGACATCACATTTTTTTAACTACCTTCACTATTCAGCAAGTGGAATAAAACCTAAACATATAAAAGTGAATTTTTATATTTTCTTTGTTCTTGAGAATTGACAACAAAAATAATAAACACTATTTATTAGATTGTTTATTTACAACTATAACTTTTAGAACTGTTGTTTTACTTGTGCATGTATCGATGAACTAGTTTGGCAACAAATATGTTTAAATAAAAAATAATTTTATCTGATCTAAAAATGTTGTTATTTTGTACATTCTGGTTGTATCCAGTGCCTTGATTGAAAATTGGATTGAGAATAAAACACACAGAGAGCAAATCATTGGCAAAGTAGTGAGGATCAAAAAACAGCGAGAATTCAAACTGATGCAAACTTTCTTTGGTGGATGGAGGGTAAGTGACTGGCATTTATTTACCACCTCACATGATCAGTTTTTAGTGTAGGTAAACTGCATAGTACCCTAAAAGAGCACACACACCTAAAATTACAATTTAAGCTGTATCATCCAAACATTAACCAGTTCCTTCAGACATTTCTGCAGGCATTGGAGACAGCTCCCGACTCTACCTGTATTAGTGCAATAGAGATTCATGGTCATTAGGCTTCATTTCATAAAAAGAAACCATCCTACTGGCAGGAAATTTAGAAACTTCCTCTTTTTCATCAGCTTCTCACAAAGAGAGCATGTGAATTTAAGCTGCTCCAGGAATGAAGACCACAGATGAGTTCTACACAAGTATAATTTTCTCATAATATTACCTTTTAATGATAGACTTATCACTTGCAAATAATTTATTCATTCACTATGACAAATACAAAAGTTAGAAACATTTACTAGCAACCACATTACAAGAACTTTCATATATCTGTCATGTCCACTAAATATCAACTACAATATTTATAAACCAATCACACTTAAAAAAACACTTACATCTTAAAACACACCAATAAAATCATAGATTACAAATCAGAATGTTTGTTTTATTAGTCATCATCATTTTTAGGTAGATACCAACCAAATATCGTACGGACGTAGTAGAAGACATACCATGTGACTTCTTAGGGCCAATTAGGAATAAATAAATAATTTAATTCTGAAGCCGATATTGTTTGGAAAAAGTGTATAAAAACATACGAAATCCGTTCCCAAAACAATATACACGTGGCTGCCACCAAATTCCACACACCTCTCGCTGATGACCTTCATGACCTCCTGTTAAAAACGACAGCATTGACAAACTCCAGATCACGGCAACACTGCCAACAGTAAGAAACAATTTGTATCTCTCGTATCCATTTTTACTATGAATCACACACACACATGTTGACTTTTTCATACAAACACACATATCACAACATTTTATTGTTTCTCACACACGTACACAAAAACAGTTTATATTTTATTTCAGAACTTTATCAACCCAAATAAAAGACATTACTTTCCAATCTATTATGAACTTTTTGTATTCCTATCGTTATATTAAATCAATGTTTATTTGTTGAATCTACGTTGTCTTTTATACCGAATTTTATTCCTTCAATGAAAAGCGCTTGATTATTCTAGACGGCCAAATTACTAGCGACCCTGTAACGATATTTTATTGAATCCTGACACTCCAAATTTTAATATTCAACGAAAAACCGAGTAGAAGGATTCCTACATATCTACCAAACTAGTACAACCAAATCCTTCTGATAATAAATCCTTCTATAAATGTCTCACTTTGTTGTTATGATGTTATATTTTACTAACCAGAAACAGAATTTTAAATTCAACTGTTTAATAAATAAATGGAGTGTCTGCTCAAATATAAGTATCCACTAAAAATAACGCGTCCTGGGTATGACAATAAACTACATCCACATCCTGGGTAAGACAATAAACTACATCCAACAGCAAGGCCTCTGACCAGGAGCTTTTGAGGAGCGTGGAACCACCTCTTAATTGCTGGTGTTCCCAGGTCCACCTTGACCTGGGGTGGCAGCATCTGTTAGGGTCCCAGCTATGGGCAAATAGTTAACCTCGAAACTGGGGTCAAAACACTATGAAAGTGTAAAAATAGGTTTTAATATCAGAAATACTTTGTAAAAAATTATTATCAGCAATATATTTTTGAAAAAAAAATATTACCAACAATACATTTTTGAAAAAAAAAATATTACCAACAACACATTTTTGACAAAAAAAAATATTACCAACAACACGTTTTTGAAAAAAAAATATTACCAACAATACATTTTTGGAAACAACATTACCAGCAATACAGTTTTGAAGGACAAAATTATTACCAGAAATAGATTTTTGACAAAACAAAATATTACCAGCAATAAAAATTTTGTTGGCATTAAATAACCCATTGAGGTTGATAGGTCATAAAACAAACCAAACCACTAAAAATAATGTTTAAAGTGATAACATCTGTCGGATTAATACATAAAAATCCATTATTTCTTTAGAAAATTACTTTGTTTACATTTGGATACAAAACTGAGCAGATATAGAAATTTCAAAAATCTATGATGAGAAGGATTTCACTTAAAGCCTTGCCTGAATCGGCATAAATTTTCTGTAGCTTAGTTGGTTAGAGCACATCAAATCTAATGACAGTTTGCTCTGCCCAGGAGGATGTAGGTTCAAATCCTGTTGGAGAGCACATATTTTACTTTAATAAGGTTTCTTCAATATTCAGGCTGGTAGACAAAAATAAAGAAACATCCTGTTTAATAAATGAGCAGAGGGTTTATTCAATGAAGTGTATCCAATAAAAATAACATTTAAAGTGATAAAATTTGTCAGATTAGTAAATAAAAATCCATTACTTCTTCAACAAATTTTTTGTATAACTTTTTTCTATGAATAAAAATAAATAAGTCATGTTACTATTTTTTTATTTTTTCTGGTGAAAATATTGATGGTAATTTTTGTGTTGGAGGGATATATGAATATTTAGATATAAGATGTAATCTTGCATAACATGATACATTTCTGAATGTGGAATTTGTTTTTTTAAAAACTTTTATCATTTTCCATTTAATACATTTATATAAATAATGATTGATGTCTGCTTAGTATAGTAATTATCGACAAAGAAAATTGACATATCAAATTCAAATTCTCACAAAGGTCATTGTGTTCACTTTCACAAATACCCTTGGAATGGTATGAATCTATCTCTCCAGTGTGGACTCTCCCTGAATCTGGTAAGGAGGGGGGGCAAGCCTAATTAGGCAGTGCTTTGTGACCCTCACTATATTATCAACATTTGATTTTTTTCAACCAAAATTTATATATGCTACAAATTAAACTAAGCACAAATGACTATTAAAGAATTTTTGCAGATTTTAACATCATTCTGGGATCTTTCTTTTTTTTTTTTCTCTAAATCTGTAAATTTATTTTGCTCATCAGTCAGTTATGTCCCATGCATGATACACACTTAGGTGATCTTTTGATACATGACTGACGAGGCAGAATTTTTTTCCCTCAGTAGGTTGCCATTTCTTTCTGCAGTAGACCAGTTGCCATCCATGGCTATAGAAACCAGTCTTTCCTGTTATTTATCCATAGCTGGGGGGAGAAGAAGAGGATTCATACCTTTCTCAAGGGTATTAGCACGTAAGTGAATGTAATGGATTTGACTGGAATTCAAACTCAGCTCTCTGATTCCTCAATTCAAGCCACTATCCATTACTCCACTGTGCCTCCTTTTGCAATAAATAAAGAAATATATGAAAATAGAGAAATTAAAATTGCAAATTGAAGGAGATAAAAAGAGAGAAATCTAGGCTTTATTTAAACAATAAAAATTTTGTTATTTTTATTACAGGAATTGACTCAGCAGGTTGTGAATCGATATTCCAGTAAGTAAATTACTTTCTTGAGTTATTGTAAAAAGAAAAGAAAATAATAGCAAATACAATATCAACAATCTTAAATTTGTTTACTTTGTACACATATTTCTCTTCCATTTGAATAATGACATTCTTTTCATCAGATATATTGGATGAAATGCTTTTCTTTATGGCTGAGGTAGTCATGTATTCCATGATTGATGGTGGCATTCACGATCTGATAAGAAACTAAGATTTTAAATACTAATTTACAAATCGGGCAGACCCTTCCCACTTCAAAGATTGGCACAATACAATGTTTCTATCACCTATTTCCTACTAGTGTGGCCCCGTGCCAGACTTAGTTAAGTTTAGTAAATATGCATCTTGGATAAATATACAAAACATGTAAAAATTACGCACACATATATATTATCATTTAAAGTAAAAAGAAATAATTTTGGATTATAAATAAAAATCCACAAATTCCTTAGAAATTATTTTGTTTAGATTTTAGATGTGAAAATAAAAAGTTAGCAGATCTGGGCTTTGAGGGATTCAAATGGGAGATATACATTTCTTAAATAAGGACATTGCTTCTTTTTTTTAAATCAATTCACCCTGAGCAAGACAAGAATGCTATTAAGATGCAAATGGCTACTGGAAGTAAAAGAGAATGAAAAAAACTTTAAAGTAACTGGAAACCCAATCCTGAACAAGAAACAAAGGGTAAACCTTTATTCCTGTTCAAAAGACCAGGAAGTAGTGTGAACTGGAGAATAAGTGAACATATCTACTACTATGAAAGTCTTCTGTGGCTGAGTGATCTAAAAAGCATGCCAAGGTTTCCCATGCATGGACGACACAGATTCAAAGCCTGCCAGAAGGCACAACTTCTTTATTAAGACACTTAAATGCAAATTAGACATAAATTTATACTGTTAAAAAAAAACAGGGACCTGTTTCAACTAAATATAACATATAATGTCAAATTACAAATAAAATTCATTAATTCCTTAGAAATCACTTTGTTTGCATTTCAAATAAGAAAATAAAAGTTAGCTTAGCAGATATGGGCTTTAAGAGTTCTAAACAAGACAAGTGCATTTCTTAAATAGGATAATTGAACTTTGCTTTGCTTACATTTTGAATAAGAAAATAAAATCAGTCTATATTTCTGAGATTTCTGCTGTCTTCATCTTTGTTGCCATATTCACAACATTTTGGTCATTATATGCTCTGGCCGTCTTCAGGTGATTGTAATTTCGAACTGAACCTTTTCCTTCTCCCACCGGGGTAGATCATTCTAGTTCCACATGTCATGGCTTTTCTGGATGTCTCAGTTATCTCCCTTTAACTCAACTCTCCAAGTTTTTGTTCGCCATTCCAATAGCCAGGTATTGAACTCACAACACTTTGGGCCAAGTCATCCAACCAATGCTTTTCTTCACTGAACCAACTTTAACTCAACTCTCCAAAACTATATATATATATATATATATATATAAAGTATAGGATTGGTGTATATGGAATAAATTCCAATTCCCAAAAATATTATTCTTAAAAGAATGCTCAATACAGAGTAGAGCAAATATAATTTACTTGAATATTATAACATAAATATGTTATAAAATCACTACAAAAATAGCCATTTTGTTTCAATGCTTCTGATGTCTTATCAAGAGATGGTGTTGAATCAATACCATCACTTGATAAGACACCAGAAGTGTTGAAGCAAAATGGCTATTTTTGTAGTGATTTTATAACATATTTATGTTATAATTTTCGAATAAATCGTATATATATATATATATATATATATAATTAATGTGGAGAAACTTGTTACTTAACTCAGTGGTATTATTTCAGTCATGCCAATTTCAAAATTTTGTGAGTGCATTATAGTAATCCCCTCACACTTCAAGGCTATTGGCTTCTCTGAACAGTGAAGGCATTACTACAATGCACTCATGAAACTTTGAAGTTAGCATGACCAAAACACTACTCACTTAAGTGACAAGTTTCTCCACATTAATTCTATTAACACTCTAACCTTATCTTTTGATATAGAGCACTTTGACAAAAACCCATCTACCTAAAATGCCTTTCCACCAGTAAACTACAGAAAAAGAAGCAGTAATTTTGGCACCTAAAAATTATACAAACACATGAGAAAAGAGATATATGTGTGTGTGTGTATATATATATATATATATATATATATATATATTAGTGAATATACATAATATCCATTGTTGGCAGCACAACTCAGAGTTTCATGCAAACTTGCAATCTTCAGGTTCTGAATACAAACTGACCGTTAGAGCATTACAAAATTCATGTTCTCGTGGTGATGATTTAAAATCATGTGTTAAGTCTTGTTTATTTTATTATTGTTGACTGTAATATTAGAATTAATTATTTATAATTTATATCACTCATTTAATTAAGTTCAACAGATGAAGAATTAAAAAAACAAAAAATTAGAATTATTTTAAATGAAAAATTAGAAATTAAGTAAACACATTATGTATTAAGTCGGGGTTACTCTCTTTTTTGCATAAAAAACCATTGTTATAATATTTAAAGTACTGTCTTATGGAATAAACTTAGTATCCATGATATTAATATAATAACAGGTCAAGACTATATATCTAATGTGTTTGGGACCTAGCCTTATACTTACAAACGTGAAATTACATATACACATGTTATAAATTAATCAAGTATGATAATATAGGATTATATATGTGTAAAGATATAAAAAGAATGTTATTAATGATAGGTTATATGAATAATAATGGGTATTACATATTATATTAATATTCATAAAATCAATTTTGAAATTTATTTTAATTGGAGTCAGTGTGTTTGAGATATTTGGTTTTATGGGTACATGTAGTCATCAATTCACTTCTCAGATTCAGCAAGTTAGGGTTATTTAAGGGTTTAATATAATAAGCTTCTCCAACAAACACAATTTAAATCTTTCTCCCTTTCTATAGTATAGTTTAGCTTTTGTGGTTATCTCCCACCTAATGGTTGGGTTTTTATAGTTGTTTTTTAATCTCCAAACATAATTTGAAAGCTTTGTGCAGTTTTTGTATTTGATATTGTTCAGTGTTATTCTGTGGTGGTAAAAATGCAATTTCCAGCTGTTTTTGGTGAATCCAAAGTAATATTTAACATCATCATCTGAATTGATCCTAGCTCTGTAGATTATACCTTCAGTAATGCACTGGCCATTTAATGGACAGGTTACATTTATATGGCAGTTGCATTGACTTTTAGTAGGATTATTATTTAGTATTTTGTTTGTATGCTTGCTTAATATATTATTGCTATATTGCGCTATATAATTATTAATGTGTTATCAATATTAAATCCTTGACCCCAATTAAAAAAGGTTGCAAAATAGATTTTACAAATATTAATATAATATGCAACAACTTTTAATATTCTTAGAACCCAAATTAATAGCATTTCTTATATATCTGTACAAACATAAAATTCAATATTACTGTACTAGATTAATATATAATGTGTATATATATATTCTTTAAAATTTAGGAGCAACTGATCTCCTAATTTTTCAAGTTAAAAGCTCTATATGTTATTTTTTAAATTTTATTTTTATCATACAGATATTGAGCACTTTTTAATACTACTATTTTTTGATATATATATATATATATATTTAGTTTATAAAAAACTAAGTAATCCATATGGGTAAACCTAAGGAAGATAAAATCCAGAGAGCTCAATGAAAATCCAGAGCAAATAATTTAAATAAAAACAGACCACTTTAAGGTTCCATGTAATAAATTATTTCACCACAGCCCTTTTAAAGGACTGCGGATCATCAGACTTTACTTCCAAACAAAAGATGAAAAGAAAATTTACACATTTTTGACGGGCCGTATTAAACATATGTAAATTAACAAAGTGAGGAAGTGAGGGGGGAGAGAGAAGATATGAGTGAGTTATCAGATATTGACACATTTAAACGGTTAACTTAACAGAAGTTATATATTGATATCGAAGGGGTAGAGAAGAAAAAACCCATAGAGAGAAAAAGAGAGAAGGAAGTCATGAGAGAAGGTGTCACTAATTTTCTTTGTAAAAAAAAAGGCTAGAAACAGATGCTGTTATTTTGTTTTACTTTGAAAGTGTTATTTTGGGGGTTTATAAAGATTATAATGTTTGATATAAATTTGAATGTCTCTAAACTGTCTACAAATAATTTAATTTGATGTTTGTTAGTGATTTAAATTTTTTTTAAATTTTGGGGATTTTCTATGAAATAGTCGATGAGAAAAATATTCATAGAAAATACATTAAAAGAATAAAATTTTATTTTAAAATATAAATTTACTTCTAGTAATCTTTTTTAATCTCTTTAAAAAATTTTATTATTGATTATTAAGTTGACATCTCTATCCGTTTGAATTTTGTTCATGAATTTAACTCGTGACTGCTTCTAGATGGGTAATCTCTTTTACTTAAATTTTAGTTAAGTTAATATGGGGTAATATATATATATATATATATATATATAAACACCTAAGCATGTACCATTCATGACACTAAAGGGTGGAATTTTAGTTTTATTCTAACTGATTTTATTTATATTTTTCAGTGGCCCAGCAACATCTTGATCATGTTAGTAATGTCCAGTTGTGCGCTGTTGTCTTCACAGTGTGGCACCACATCACTCAGGACTCCATTCGACAACGTGAATACTTTGAGGTAGGCTTTCATAAATTACTCAAATTAATGTTTACTTTTTTTTTCTAAATTCCAAAAAGGCATATATACAGAGCTTTAATATATTTTAATGAGTATTTCTTGTTTTTCCCCAGGTGATTTTGTGTAAATTTGAAGATTGAAGTCATATGTTGTAAAACAGAGATATTTTCCCCCAGATATTATTTATTAATATAAAGTGTTACACTATGCCACCTTTGTAGACTATACTAGTAGTGATAATTGCAGGGATATAGAACAGGATGAATTTACTGATATCTTAAGGACCCACTAGAGTCACATGACAGCTTGTTGGTGATGATGACATTTGCAGTTTAACTCACAATGGAGGCGGATGCAGTCACCAGTTGCAGTTTGAATCCAAGAATACCATGCCTACTAAATAGAAACAAAATCCCTGTCACTAGGGCTGTACTGTGTCTGTCTATTGTACAGACAAGACATTTTTATTTGTCTCTTCACATACTGCTTATTTTTTTATGTGTTTAAATTTCTCTGTGTGTGATAAATTGTGACAGATATGCTTATGTATTACATTTTTATATGATATGTTTACATAGTTCTGTGTTGTATATAAAATGCTTTCAGATTTAACTAATTTTTGAATTCATTTCTATTGGTTATTTTAGTTCTTCCTTCCTTCATGTTAAGGTATTAGTATATCACAGATATACTATATTTGCCTTTGCATAAGATGCACTTTTTATTTTTAAATGTACCAAAAAACTGCCCTGTGCCTAATACAACTGTATTATGGATGAGATGACCAAATGCTGTGCTAGTAGGCTAGGGATGTTGGATAAACCTGAGTTTGCTCAGCATATAAATTGTTACTAGTAATAAAATATTGAAATCAAGCTAAATTATTACAGTAAATTGTTACTAATAATAAACTATGTATGGTTGTCTGTACTGTTTACAGAAATACCAGTTTCTGTTTAAATGCATTCAGTTTTTTCCCTGTTACTTGTTACATACGACTGATAATATTTAGTGAAATATTTTGCTTTGTCTGCATGTACTGTAATTATCTGTAAGAATTCATTCACATTTATTGTATTTTACTGGTTGCTTTATACCAGTTTGCTTTGTTTATATGTATCAGTACTCATTAACACAAATACATCAGTATTTGTTTTCTGCTTTGGTAAATTTAGTTTCCTTTGAAGGTTAATGCTACAATATATGATTTCAGAATTTATTCTAGTATACTGTTAAAATAGTGTATTTGCACATGCAAAATCAGACATTTACTCCAAGGAAAACCAGTTTAAAATATATTTCAATGAATATATAATGAAACATGCTAATTTTTTTTCCTCAGAATATCTGTGTAAAATAGGTGGATGTTTTAAAATAGGGTACCCATTATCTGAAGGCAAATATTGTACTAATGCCTATAATGGATATTGGAGAGTGGAGAAGCCCAAGATATTTCTTCTCTTTTTTCAAGCACTTCATTATTTTCATTTAATCAGATATTGAATATTTTGCTGCTGATTTAACTTCTATTATAAACCGTGAATTTTGTTTATTGGTCTTCTTAATTACAGTTTGATTATTTTAAATATTTTAACCTTTTTTCCTTAACCTCACCAGATGACCCTGGTTTGTAAACTTTTTGTTTTGTTTCTATTTGATGTGACCACTTATTTTTTGAATTTTTTGTTGTTTTTCTAACCAGATCTATCTATCTATATATCTATCTATCTATCTGCTTGGTGACTGGAATAAATTTGTCTCCCATCAGTGTTTGAGTTCAGTTAAAGGCCATGGTTTCAAATGCTTATTTTCAAGGTCATCTAAAAGATAGGGAGTAGATGATTATTTCTACTTTTAGTCCAATTGTCTACAATTTCCAAGTTAAAACTTTTTAAAAACATTCTACACTTGCAGTTACAGCTCAGAGGTAGTGAAAAGAATCCAACACGATTGATTCTATTCTAAATGAAATATTGTAACTATAATTTCACTTACACATTTCATTTTAATACTGGACAACAGTGCTTTTCCTAAATGATCAGATGAATACAAGTGTTAAGATTAATAGCATTTAAAATGATTTAGTATTGAATTTGTTCATTTATTTACAGTTGGGTTGGGCTTAGGCCTGCTACTGATAACATGTAACCCAGTACAACCTGCTGCATGGATGAATTTGAATTTCAAATTTTCTGTCATCTGTTAAAGCACTTACTAGATGTTTAAATTTCTGTACATCTCAAAGTCATAGTTTACATCTTTGACTGTTCCTCTTTTGGACAACCAAAATGACAAATATTAATATTGCTGTAAAAAATATTTGCATTTAAAACCATGGCCATTATTTACCTTGCACTTCCATAGACAATTATTTGAGATTTTTAATTATTTAACATGATTTTAGGGACTTAAAAAATTGCTCTATTTTTTTATAAGCAATTATTTGATAGTTTGATATTCTATACTGCTAAATCTCATGCCATGAAAGTGTTAAACCCATGAGAACTACTTTGTCCCTCCAGCTCTCACAGACTTGGTAGAGTATCAGAACATGTTTCAAGACCAGAATAATTTGCTGGTGGTCCTGGTGGATAACATCTTTCCTATTCTATAATGCAAGCAAATATTTATAGAAATATAAAAAAACATTATAAAAATATTTGTTCATAATATATATATAAATATATATATATATATATAAAGGCCATTTTGCTGTATCCTAACATTTGAAGTTGGACTTTTACTGTTCTTTTTTGTTTTTGTTGAGCAACTAACCTGTTGCTTTCTGTAACTCTGTGTGTGTGTGCGTGTGTATGTATTTTGTATTGTAATAACAGCATGTTTCTTCATGGGACTAAATCCTAATTTCTGGATATGACTTTTGATGTGTTGCTGTGTTTTTCATTGTAACATTAGATTAATACATTAGATGTTGTTATTGAAAGCATTATTTACCATGTCATAATCATTCTTCTTGTCTGTGTTTGACATATCCATTTCTTCATATTGAGAAACCATATTGCCATTGTTTATGTTTAATTTTAATTTCAACAAATTCATTTATATTTTTCTCTTGACTGTTTTGACATCTTGTTTTAATCAATTCATGCAAAACAATTCTAATTTTAGACCTTAAAATACTATATATAATTTTGATGTCTTTCATTATAACATTAGATTAATACATTAGATGTCCTTATTGAAAGCATTATTTAACCATGTCATAATCATGGTGCATGTTTTATGGACGCTTACAAAAAAAATTGATAACTATCAATTACATAAATTTTTGATCTTAGCAATTCACCCTTGAAGATGATCTTAGATGAGATTGAAAGTACTTGGGAAAATAAAAGAAATGAGAAAAACCACACTGTCTTTCTTAATCAGTTTAATAATAGCACTAATAAATTGATCCAAGAATTTGAGAGGGTTAAAATAAAAATAAATAGACATAATATGTCTAGATTATTCAACCAAACATGCTTGAATGAAGATATGCTGCCTATATATATATATATATATATATATATATATATATATAATTGTCAAAAGTTTTGTGTATAGTAAAACTAATAATTACAAGAAAAAAAATTCAATTTGTAGTGTTTGTGAAGAAAAACTTTAAAAGTTCATATAAATTATGATTTGGTAAAATGAATGAATTTACAGATTCAAATTATAGCGATCACATTATTAGAATATATTTGATTAATACATTTCAAACAAAAATTATTTTGTTTATTTCAAACAAAATAAAAACATTTTTATTAAAAATTATTAAGACACAATATCCTGACTGATTGGATACCAACGTCAAATAAAATTTAACAGAGAAAGATATTATACAACATTTAAAATTTTTATCAAATTATTAATCTGCAAAGTTTCAGTTTTTAAGCATGTACATTTAGTAAATTATTAGAAATTATCAGGTCATCCCATAAGTTCTGTCCAAATTTTGAATAAAGAAAACAAGTGGCCAAATGTTACATTTAATTACAGATTCAATTAACAATGTATTTTCCCTGATTATCTATGACTTCCATCCATCTATTAACAAGCTTACTAATTCCATTACTGTAAAATTCTTTTGGCTTTGATTCGAAGAACTCACAAATGTCAGTTTTAACCTCTTCCTGTGTTACAAAAGCTGTCTCTTCCAAATGATTCTGTAAGCTACGAAACAAATGGTAGTCTGAAGGAGCAAGATCGGGAGAATAAGGTGGATGAGGAATTTTCTCCCAACCAAGTTCTTCGATCTTTTGTGATGTGATTCTTGCTGTGTGGGGTCACGCATTGTCCTGATGAAATATCACATCTTTTCGATTCACTAGAGCAGGTTTTTTTTCCTCAAAGCTTGGTTCAGCAAATTGCTGACAGTATATTTGAGCATTAATTGTTGCATTAGGTGGTAAGAATTCAAAGTGGATTATTCCTTGGTGATTCCACCAGATTGAAAGAAGAACCTTTTGCTCATGAAGTTCCCTTCTCAGCTGTGGCTGGGGTCCTTCCCCTTTACCAAGCCACTGTCTACGATGCTTAACATTTCAATAAAAGATCCATTTTTCATCACCAGTCACAAGTCTATCCAAAAAAGGTGAAACAAGTTGGTGAGAATGGAGAGAGAGCAGATGTCAACTCGGAATTTGAGGTTGTTTTCAGACAATTCATGACGCACCAATTTTCTAAGTTTAGGAACGTTTCCAAGTTGTTGAAGATGACGATGAACAGTTGTATGGTTTGAACTGAGAACCACTGCCAATTCCTCAACTGATAAAGCAGGATTTTCTTCAAGGGCTGCTTCAAGAAGCTTTTCATCAAACTCAACTGGACGTCCGGTTCGATCTTCATCTTCAAGGGTGAAATCTCCACCTCTGAATTTTGCAAACCATCTTCTGCAAGTTCTTTCATTCACACATTCCTCTCCATAAACTGAGTAAATGTTTCTAGCCGCTTTGGCTGCTGAGTTTCCTTTCTTGAACTCATAAAGCATTATGTGCCTCAAATGATTCTTGGGTACTTCCATGTTAGCAGGGTTTTAATCAAACAAAATTTAATTTTATTGTTCTCTGAAATAAAATTTGATCAGTTTAAATGCATCTAAACATAAAAATAATGTTCAGCTCCATTAGACATTATAAAATACTCTTTAAATTTCATTCATTTTAAAAAAAGGTAAAATTCGGACATAACTTATGGGATGACCTGATATATGTTCTTCAAGTAACACAATTAAGTTGAGCATTTTTCTGTTAAATATTTGTGTGCATTTTATGTCTACTATTATGTCTGCACCTGAAGTACAAATAAAAGGATAATGTCTTGAGTAATCAGTCAGTGAGAGTCTGCATGATAGTCTGAGTATCAGCTGGATGTATCAGTTCGAGTTGAAGTCATTAATAAATTTTCCTGTGTTGAGTCTGTTTCCTGTTGTATGAAAACTGTCTTCATTAAAAGAAATGGGACTAAAAAGAAATTTTAACTTTTGTAAATCATCTGAACAATTTTTGGAATATAAAAATTTTGAATTGACACTTTACCTGCATTTTTCTTTTTCATTGTGGATGAGTTGAATATTTTTATAAGGCCAAATTTTAACCCCATCAACCTTTCACATATTTACTGCGGATGATAAATGCAATACAGAATTAATGTAGAATACCGTGAAAGATTTATTGATAAAAAGAATTTATCTGAAGAAGTTTTGGTACAGAAATTTACAGGAAAAATATAATTTGTTTTATGAAGGTTTCTGAACAGTTATAATTACAGTAAGGGAGTCCAGATTTATACATCAGGTTTCCATAGAAGATATCATTAAAAACCTGTATGGAGATCTAACAATGACCATTCTTTTTTGAACCTTATGGTTTGGCACTACAGAATCACAAAGAAAGAAGTGTACCAAATAACAGAAAGCACATCACTTGAAGACTTTCAATAACAGCAACAAGTATAATGGATATCAAATGTAACTCAAAGAGAAAATAATGACTGTTGCATTGTGGGTAGTCTATTCTAATGGTTATACTGGTGGGAGTGGTTTGTTTATTATTTACTCTATTTTATTATTAGTTTTTGTTTATTTATTTTTATTTATTCTTTCAATTTTTGGTTTTAATTTCCCAGATATACTTGGAAAGCATTGTGCTGTAATATACCAAGCCATGGTAAAATCATCAGATAACAAAGAAAAAATATACATAGAATTAACTGAAGGACCCTAGAAACAAAGAAACTATGCACACAAAACATCTTTCACAAATAGTAAATATGTGAACAGCACAATACTTTTCAAGTATATCTTGGAAATTAAAAACAAAAAGCAAATCACACCCAAAATATCATGGAAAATAAGGAAAAGACTACAACAATCAATCCAAAAACTGCAAACTCTGCTTGGAGGAAAAAATAGCTATAATTACCTTCCCAGACCAAAACAAACTACTAAATAAACAATCAGAACTCATCTCAAAATGCAGACCTGAAAACAATTTTTTACTACATTACTGTAATGAATAATCAGAGGCGAATAAACTTTGGTAAGCTTTATTCAACTTTAATACAGCTATATTTAGCTATCCCCCCACGTGGGATTGAATGTGGCACAAGGCCGAGTTTAATGTGGGTCATCCTAGCCCGTAGGCCCGGCCAAAAATATAGCCTTCGAACCCTCCTAGGTGGGCTTGAGACCTCCCCGAACGAAACCTTGCCCTTCGGCAAAGCTTTGTCCGGGTTCCTCCCTGCTAATGCAGAGAGTTCGACAGATGACGGTTGCTGTAAGTTTGGTACAGCTATAAAAAAAGAATTATGCTAGTATATTTATAAGCTTATGTGGAGTCAACCATTACACCAAACAAGGGGGAGCAGGTTGTGGGAATTACTTACAACATTCTCCCCCACCAGCTAGTTATTCGTACAGAATAAAGTCTTTCCAGCGACCTGGCATTTTGTGGGTCCTTTGGGAACATCTTAATTGTTCAGGTGACTGGTGGCCGTCTACATCAGACGACGAGTTGTAGTTATCGTGATTAACGCATTTCTGCGTAGAGGGTCTAGCCTTGAAACGGCACCATTTTTTCTTATGTTTAGGTTGCTGGGTGTCTGGAAAACACGTCTCAGTCTCTGACGTAGGGTGAGTCCGTTTTTGGGGTGTCGGTCTTTCTTCAGAATCAGAAGTAGAAGGTTCATAAGAAAAATCGGATTCATTCGGTAGAGTACCTGAACTAGATGTACGCGGGATTTGGTTGCCTAGCTGCACTGGGCTGGTTCTGAAAACTGGATTTTCACGATTCTCTATCACAGTAGCCTCTTCAGGTGTATTTCCAGCCGGCATGAGATCTCTTAAGGAGACTGTTGATTGTCTTCCCTCCGCAGTTTAATCTGGGCGTATTGGGGGTTCGCCTCAATTAGTTTCACTTTGCTGACTAAGGGGTCATGTTTACTATCACGTACATGGTGTTTCAACAAAACGATTCCAGGTTGAGCAAGCCATGAGGGGAGGGAAGTGCCTGTTGAGCTTCATCTTTGGAACTAAAAAAAACCTCTCATGTGGAGCAGTGTTTGTAGATGTACAGGGTAGGGTCCTGATAGCGTTTAGAGCCTCGGGGATGACACTTTCCCATTTTGAGATCGGCATTTTCCGGTTTGCCAACGCCAACTGAACTGTCTTCCATATTATTCCATTATATCTTTCACAGAGCCTGTTCCCTTGAGGGTTGTAAGGGGAGGTTTGGCTTACCACCACTTTTCATTCATGCAAAAAATTCTTCAGGTCTTCCAACATAAAAGCAGATCCCCGGTCTGTATGAATGTATGCAGGCACTCCGAAAATTGCGAAAAGGGAGCAGAGGCCTTGAATAACTGTAGTGGCCATTACATCAGGGCATGGAATGACGAAAAGGAACCTTGAGTACTCATCAATTACAGTAAGCATGTATTTATTTGGAGTTTTAGAAGGTAGTGGACCCTTGAAATCCAGATTAAGCCTTTCGAAAGGCTGAGTGGCCTTTACGAGTGTTGCTTGAGGGGGCTTATAGAATCTTGGCTTATTTTCTGCACATATTTGGCAAGAGTTGGTAACTCTTTTAACATCTTCAACTGAATATGGTAAATTCCTGCTCCAGACTACATGTGTCATTCTTGTGATGCCCGGGTGGCACAATTCTCGGTGTATGCTCTGAAGATCAGATGAGCTTGTTGTTAGACTGCACACCCTTGAAAGTGCATCAACTGCAGCATTCTCCTTTCCAGGACGATAGGAGACGTCAAATGAATAACAGGAGAGTTCCATCCGCCATCTTGCAATTTTCTCATTTTTTATTTTACTTGAGGTTTTCAGGTTAAACATGAATGATACCGATTTTTGGTCGGTGATAAGGTGGAATTGTCTACCGATCAGATAATGCCTCCATTTTCATAAAGCTTCAACTATGGCGTACGCTTCTTTTTCTATGGCATTATGCCTTCATTCAGACTTCGAGAGTGTCCTAGAGAAAAAAGCTAGAGAGTTAGACAGACGGCAGTGGCTGTAAGTTTAATACAGCTATAAAAAAAGAATTATGCTAGTATATTTATAAGCTTATGTGGAGTCGTCCATTACACCAAACAAGGGGGAGCAGGTTGTGGGAATTATTTACAACAGTTACTTAAAAACTGAAAAGAATAAATAAGTAAAAACAAATGAATAAATAAAGTGAAAATAAACAAATTAACAAACCACTCCTGCCAAAATAACCATTAGAATAGACTAACCACAATGCAATAGACTAACCACAATGCACCACTGATCCGTATATATAGTCGAGAAAAACTCAATGCATGGGGCCTGAAACAGTCTGTTGCTTTTGAGTGTTAACTTCAATGTTCACTTTTATATATATATATATATATATATATATATATATATATATATATAGATACAGACTTAAAAACTCTAAATGTTATTTTTATTTTTACTTATATTTTTTTCTCACATGCATTAAGCACTTTTTAATACTACTGTTCCCTGGTTTGATTCAACTCTGACTATTAACTTTTATGAATCTCTCTCTCTCTCTCTCTCTCTCTCTATATATATATATATATATATATATATATATATATATATATATATATATATTCTTTACAAAAAAAGATTATGTGTATCAAACTAAAAAATATACAATCCTAATGTTATATGCAAACAAGAAAATATGACATTACCTTTAAGCCCACTAACCACTTTTTTTGCTTACAGAAAGATGGCTGGCAGGACTTAATGTATACTGATTCCAAAACCTTCAAGTGATATTTGGTATTAGCCTTACTCAGCATTGAGCACATGTCTGGTCTGTAAGACTGTGCACACAGTTGTTTTTTAATCAAATGTTCAGTGATCATGGGACTTGATATATTAATTCACCTATGTAAATTGTCCACCCTTTGTGGATATTGCCTGGTATGTGCAATTATTGATGTTCACTAAATTCTAAATTTGTTTTATCTTAAAAATTTTATAACATGACAACATCTAATCTGAAATTATTCAATTCTGTTTGGGATATTTTATCATTATAGAAAGGCATTCTTATAAAAATTTTAAATGTAGTAAATGTTTCTATCTATCTATCTATCTATCTATCTATCTATCTATCTATCTATCTATCTATCTAATACTAAAATTCTGTGATTGTGTGTTGCATCCATCCAGCACATAATTATTTATAAGTTGTTTATTCAGTAAGTATTTTTTATTTTAACTTTCTTCAAACAGACAATTTTTTAATTAAAATATTTTTAACTTAAAGACACACACAAAGAGATTCTAATTTGGTGTTTCATCCAGTTGTTTGTAGAGTAATTATTTATATTTCAGCTTTCTTTAAACAAACCATATTTTAAGTATTTAAAAAATATTTTTTGGCATACCTAAAAAATTAAAATAAAAGTTTATCCCGGAAGTTCTATTCTTATTAAATGCTGTAAACAATCAGTAATAGGTTAAACATGAACTAGTAAACCAGACCAATGATGAAATGAAATTGAAAATATTTAACTGAATCATAATAAAATTAACTTTCATTTCAATGGGATGTTGAAATCAACTTCAATATTTTATAACCTGCACCGTCAGTGACCCAATGGGTCACAGGTAGTCTAGTTGTTTATTAACTATTAGACGCATTTAAATTATTGTAATATTAAAAATTACTGATTATATTCTTGGACAAGTACATATATATATATATATATATATATACTTTGAAAAATCAAGTTTTTGACAAAAATTAATATTTGCCAAAGAATGACTTAAATTAATAAAAAAAGTGCTCAATACAATTTTCAAAAAAGGAAACTATACATCAATTTAATCCATAAAATAACGAGAACACTAACCTATCCTCTACCATGGTTTCTACCAATCAGGTATCACCAGGCAATAAAATTGGGTGAGCAAGAGTCCATGAGTATTTAATGAAAAGGTACCAAATTTGGATCAACTAGGTTAAGAATTTTACTTTTTACATAAAGGCGCCAATATACACATCTTACCACAAGGATGGTTAGTAGTGAAAGAGAGCAAGTCAACTCCTTTACTATAAGTTATCACATTAGGTGTTTCAAAACCTTTCTAGTTTTATTTTATTTTGCATGATGAGAAATATTGTGTGATTAATGCTAACTACCACATATTCATTCCAGTTAAATACAGAACAACACTTCGACATAACTGATCATACGACTTGCATGTTATTCACTTTGTCATAAGTTCGGTCTAACATTGAAATACGAAAGTTATGTTTGACTTCATAAAAAGATAGTGTTGCAGTTTTTATTGTTTTTATATTACTGTACCTGAAAAAAAAACTTGATCGTACAGTTTAAACAAAGTTCTTCAGTAATTTGAAAAATAAAAGTTATGATTAGACTTACTATAAATTCCAAGCTTTAAACTATGATCGGTTTAATTAATAAAGCTTCAGGACTGATACACAAACAACAAATACTTGTTGGGATCTGTCAACCTAGGATTTGTTCCTATCTGTTTGTTGGTATTCCAAACATTTAGCAACAACAACAACAACACATCTTGTAAATGAAACATAACAAAGGTTATTTTCTGGAGGAAAAGTAGAAGCTGAAATGTCAGCTGAAATAACATTTATATATTCTTTTCAGAGATATACAATGACAATAAAATGTTCAATTTTCCTTGCAATGAAGTTTTTTTTTTTTTTAAATGAATTAAGTGTTCTTATTGCAGTGTGAAATGTATGAACAGACTTCTTTTGTGACAGTCAGCAAAATGTATTTGTGTGTTCATAGGCAAAGGATTAGTAGGTGGTTGCTGGTTAATTTCTTTTATTGCATACATGAACAAGGCTTTACTTGGCAGCTGCTGCCTCTCTTCCAGTGTGTGTTTTTTTTTGTTTTTTTTTTTTTATAAGTGTTTCACCCCAAGCAAGGTGAGAAGCCACTAGGACACAAGAGGTTACATAAGATTTGGAGCAAGATCAGATAGGAGTGATAGAGGAAAGGATGAGGAGAAGGATAGTGGATAGATCAAGGCAACTGGAGATGTTGATTGACATTATATTTGAATAGTTGGAGATTATAGCTCTCGGGGAAATTGGAGTAAGGAAGGGAGTTCCACAGGCGAGAGGTGCGAGACATGAAGCTATTGGAGTAGAAGAGATGGCTACATTTAGGAGTTACGACAGTGAAAGGGTGAGAGCGGGATGCTAGCCTTGTAGGGTGCTTGAACTCATGAAGTCTGGGAACGAGCAAATGCAGCTCCTCAGAGCAATTGCCATGAAAGTATTTGTAAAAAAGACAGAGAGAGGCGACAATGCGTCTGTGAGAGAGTGACTGTAGACGAGATGCCAGAACAGGGCCAATTATATTGCATATCTGCCTCTGGAGCCTATCAAGAACCCCCAGGCAAACAGAAGGGGCTCCAGACCATATATGGCAGCAATACTCCATCCAAAGGCGAATTGTTGATTTGTAGATCTGGAGGATCAATTCCGGGGAGAAAAATTTCCTGGCATGGCACAGGGAGCCAACTCTCCTTGCGGTGGACAAAGCAATTGACTCAATGTATTTGTTCCATCTCAGGTCAGCAATGTGAGACCAAGTAGCCGCAGAGTGTGGTTGCATATACATGTGTAGATCAAACTGGCCTCTAAAATTGTTGTGAATCTTGAGAATTGGTATGCTTCTATTTTTATATCTATAAGGAGATTCAAAATAGAGGTGTGAAGTTTTTGAATACAAGGTTTTCATTGGTTAGAAAATAATTTCACGCTGGCTCGCAAAATCTTTTTCTCTAATTTGCAGGTATGGTGAAAGGAGTTATTGTTTTTTGGGGTTTTTTTTGCTAAATGGTCCAAAAATAAAATGTGGTAGATCTACAGCTATGTCCACATGTATTTTGGCAGTATATGCAACTGTAATAATTGTTTATCCAACAAATCTTCTGTTGGGATTTTATTGGTTAAAAATATATATATGTAATTCCTATATAGTAATAACATATATGGATTTAATTCCTATATAGTAATAATATACATATATATATATATATATATATATATATATATATATATATATCCAAAACATTTTTGTGATGCACTGGGAAGCCTCATCAGTGTTTGGGGATTTCAGACCTCTGAAAATATCAGACCCTACCCATCTAGGCTACCCAACCAGGAGTGATCATCTCCCAGTCAGCTTTCCAACATCTCATGGTTGAATCTGCAAAATTTGGCTTTAGTTTATATTTGATTCATTTTAGAATTCAGTTAATGAAAATTGTTTTTTCTGTTACTGCTGTCTCCATTTACCCATTTGATGTTAAAAACCAAATATTGATAGATTGTATCTCCAGAACAGACCTTTCAAAATGATACCGTGTTAGCCAGACTGGGATATATAGCAAGTCCAGTTATAATAAAATTAAAATGATTTAAATTAATTTCCTTGGATTGCATTCAATAAACTTTTTTTCATCTAGGCTCAAGAGAAATCTCCAAGGTATAATTTGCATGTGATTTTTTTTTTAATAGATTCTTGCGATGTTTCTTTGAAGTAACTGCAAATAGTATTTTTCTGGCTTTAGAGACTTGAAAGAGGAGAGAAGGTTGATGATGAGGAAAGACTGCTTCTACAAGGATACACAGGTGAAGCACAGGATAGCATCTCCACTTTACCCCGCAAGTTAGCTGTTCAGGTAAGAAATCAAAAAACACTTACAATAACTGCACACACAAGCACATTGTTAATTTCCAATATGTATATGTATACATATATGTATATGTAAGTATATCAATATGTCTGTAGCTGAATGATGCAAAATAGCATTTGTTTTACATAATGAATATTTATTATTTGACATAATTTCCTGCTTTGTCAATACACATAATTTCAGATCAAAATTTACCTAATATGTGTCAAGCTACAGAATTATTGCTCTACCTTTATATAGATATCAAGATGCATTCTGGCTTTTTTGGTGAGGAAGGTAGCTAGATGCATAGAGGATTAAAACAAGAGCTGTCAAAGGGCGGTGAACCTTCTTGTAGGGTCAATGGTTATCAAGTACAATGGGGTAAACCGGGCTCCATAGTTATGTATGCAGCCAGTGTACTAGTGATATGTTATTGTTAGGTAGAGGGCTTTCCAGGCAAAAGTCAATGGCCAGAGTTGAGAATTCCCATGATGAAATCAACTACATGTCAGTGACCAAAGCAAGCATTAAGTTGGAGGCCATTGGCTGTGCTTTGAACTGAAGAAGAAAGGACTCTGTTGGGTCTGCTTGCCCATGAAATGCTATGCATGAATAAATACATCTCAGATATGAGGAGAGAATTGGCCAGGTGCTCAGGGTCAAATCACACTTCCCATATGGTCATTGAATTTAAGCAGCATTGAGGCTGGTCAGTACTTCCATAGGAAATGACTTGTAAGCAATGGTAGAGGTCATATCATCATGGTATGATTCGGTCATTAATGATCGCACCAGTGTCTTACCATCATATATAATTCTTATTCAGTCACTGAGGTTAAGCATGGTCAGTACTTAGATAGGTGACCACTTAAGAAAAACCCAGTACAATAAACAATGGCAGAGGTTATATCATCTTGATATGATTCAAGCACTAACGAATTCACAAGTGAATTGTATTCAACAGTCTCCAATTATCTTTACTGTTTCTTGTTATTGGATTGAGACAGTTTGATACTGAGAGTTTACATAATTTTGTGCAAACATATGAATGAGTATAAACAATATGCTCAAGGTTCTCTTTCAAGTATGTTTCATTAAACATGAAAGATTACAGTTACAATTAGCTGGTAATAGAAATCCTCTGCTTTTCATAAACAGCTCTCCAAATACCATTACTAAAATCAAAGGTGTATGGAATGAAATTTAACAGTTGCAAAAGGAATTTTACAGACATACAGAAGGAAGTTGCTCTGAAAATGTACAATTTGTTTTCCCCTGTGGAAACTGCCCCTCCAGACCCACTACCTCATAAATCTATCGTTAAAATGGTAAAGGAGCTCTCCTGCAGTCAGTTATATGCCATGTTTGATACACACTTAGGAGATCATGTATCTTTCAATATGACTGATGAGGCAGATTTTTTCCTGCAGTAGGTTGCCATTTCTTTCTGTGGTAGACCAGTTGCCATTCAAGACTACAGAACCCAGTCTGTTCTGCTATTTACCCATAGCTGCAGGGAGAAGAAGAGGATTCATACCATTCCCAAGGGTATTAGAACGTAAGTGAATGTAATGGATTTGACTGGAATTTGAACTTGGTTCTCCAGTTCCTAAATCTAAGCTGCTATCCATTACTCCACTCCTTAGTTTTCCTTATTGAAGACATTTATAGAACCAGTCATGTTTCTGGCTTGTATATATCCACTTGAGTATGCATTCCAATTTATTCTTCATTAGTCCTGATGATGGCAGTGAAAACTGCCAAAAAGTACTTCTTATTTTTGTCTGAATTCTTAGGATGAGGAGTTATCATTATTTACACTATTTATATTTAGACTATTGTCCTCATCTTTGTTGTTGTAATCATAATGTTTCAGCCGTTGTGCCCTCTGGCTTTCCTTAGATGTATATCAATCTGGGTAATCTACAGGGAATTCTGAACTGAACAATTTACTTAATCTACAGGTGGTTGTGAATTTGGTGACATAGTGGCTGTAAGTTCAATCCTTAGGTTAGGCAGTGTGTACTTGCACTCAATGGAAATGGGTGAGCAATAACTGAATAGTACTAAATAAAATAAGAACTAGATGATATACCTAGACATAAGCAGTGGAATGAGAACAGTCTACCCTATGTACAGCAGTCATAGCAGCAGTGGGTGTGTCTAAGGCAAAATAATCTGATGGAGCCCATCACTCTTCAGGTTAGTTTAGAATCCAGAGTTGTCTTTTTCCTGCTACCAAAGCAAGAGAATCCAGTCTGCTCTGTTATTTAACACAAAGCTGGCAGAGAAGATTGATTGATTGATTCATTTTCTATGGTTTATCAACCCTTTGCAAATTATTTAAAGCCAGAAAATACTTTTAGATTGTAACAATTTTTTTTGAGATAATAATGGCTTAGTGATACATATCTTACTAATTAACCTCCAGCAGGTAGAGAAAAGAGGTGGATTCATATCTTTCCCAAGGGTAATTGTTTGTAAGTGAATATTATGAACCCCCACAGGAATTGGAACTTGGCTCTCTGATTAACAATTTCAAACCATCATACCACCTGAACATCAAAGCTTACAGCACCTGATATTCCCATATGGTCACCCACCTAGGTACTGACCAGGCTCAGTGTTGCTTAACTTTAGTGATTGTATTGGAATTGGTGTTGCAATCTGATGTGCCATAAGCTGGCAGAGAGGATAACTTCTAGCCTTTTCCATGGACATTTGTGCAAAAATGAATGCCCGGAATTTGAACTCAGCTCTCTGATTCCACTTTCCATACTGATATCCATTACGCCATTCACACTTCTTTATATGAATAAAAATTTAGAATCCAATTCAGCATTTTGAAAATTTAAGATTTTGGTATGTTTGTAATTTTAGCCAATGGATTTTATTTTTTTAATTTCAGGCTTTGAATTTGAACAGCATTTTTCCAAAATTTAAGATTTTGGGATGAATAAAAATTTGTAATTTTTTGAAAATTTAATTTTGGGATTTTATTTTTAGCCATTTTTTTTAGGTTTTTTTCTTCTATTAATAAAAAGGTTTTTTAATGACTGATAATTATGAAAACACTTTTTATAATTCCTCTTTGAAGATTTTAAATTTCACTATGATGACTCGATTTTAATTTCAATCTGTTTAATAGATTTTCAGTTATTTGGATGTCATTGACTTGGCTCACTGTTCCCGTGTCTGTCGTTCTTGGAAAATTCTGACTCAAGTGAGTTCTCTCTGGAACAGTGTAAGTATCAAGATTAATAAATAAAAATGTTAAGTTTCAGTTGGATGAGACATATATAAAAATAGATAGTAAATATATTTACTGTGTACAATGTTTGTTTGGAATGTATCTAGTCATTTTGAATATGTTGAGTACGTACTTGATTTGGTTTGTTTGTTTAACGAGATATCAACCCCTTATGGGTCATTTAATGCTCAAATTCAATTTTCTTTGGAGTTTTGAATTAATAAAAATATGATACATGTTATTCTACTTTCACAGTTGAATACATGGTAGATGATACTCAGCTTTTGTGCATATAAATGTTTATGTGGACATAATTACTAGAGGCAGTGAAATTTGTGCTTTATGTTGTAGTTTTGTTGAATTTATATTTTGGAATACAGTTTGATTTCTTTAAGAAATTGTAGGATATTATATGGATTAATGTCATGAAAGAGTTCTTTCATGTTGGTTGCTTGGTTGACTTTGTTTAGTAACATATCAATCTTTATGGGTTATTTAATGCTGAAAGCTAAATATTTTGAACATAATTGTATGCCTTCAACTGCAAATAAAATGTATTGGTGATAATTCTACTATAAAATTGGATTGTTGATATTTTTACTATAAATAGGTATTGCTGGTAATTTTTTTTATATAAAAATGTATTGCCAGTAATTTTACTATAAAATGTATTTTTATACTTTCAAAGTATTTTGTTTTTGTTTGGGGGTTCCCTTTGCCATAGCTGGGACCCTAACAGGTGCTACCACTCAAGATCAGAGTATCGAACCACCTCTTAATTGCTGTTGTTCCCACAACAGCAATTAAGAGGTGGTTCTACATTCTTCCAAACCTCCAATCTCCCAATCAGAGGCCTTGCTGCCAGATATAGTTTATTGTCATACCCAGGACTGTTGAGTATCAGTTGTATGGCCATGATGTAACTTGGTGTTGAGGAAGATTTGCACTGGAGTTTCTTCAAACATGAGAGGAGGAATGAATAAAAAATTAATAACATATTTTATTACCAGAGCAAACTAACTGGAAAGACTATAAAAGGAATGAGTGTGCGTGCGTGCGTGCGTGCATGCGTGTGAAAAATCTGTAGTCCATATGTGTGAAGTTCCAAAGAAAGATTGTGACAGAATTACATTTTGGGAAGAATTCTTTATCAGTTGGTTTGGTAGAATTATTAGATATGCCTGCATTCAGTCAAGTAAATTTGGAGCATTGTATGCTGTATACTGTTCTGTGTTGTGCTCTATGTAACATGAGGTTTGCTGGAGACCAAAGGGTCCATTAGAAGGGATTAAGACATGTTTTATATCTAAGTTATCAAGTGAGAAAAGAATGAGAATGTATGCACCTTTTTTATATATACATACTGTTTTGACAATACTATTTAGCAGTCATTAGCAGAAGTTCTTTGGTTAACAAGTGGGGTAATCTCACATTGGTAACCAATTAGAGGGAAACTTAGTGAACATGTATGAAGAAACTCTTCCGTGGAGTTACTCAGTAAGAAGTGAAATGATACTGAATGACCTCATCTACTTTGTGATTATCACATTAATATTGACCGAGTAAGTAGATTCATTATCTCCCATACAGTAGTTTTTTGGCAAAATATCACATCTCCAAGATTTTTCAACCTCACTACAGTCCATATTTTGGTATCCCCAACTTTGGGCTTTTCATAAAGCTAAAATCACAACTGAAAAATCTTGAATGAGGTTAAGGGGAATGTGACAAGGCAACTGGTGATGATCCCAAAAGAAGACCTTTCAGACTGTTTTGAAAATTAGAGAGGATACTGCAGTTGTTCTGTAATGTCTTGAAGGTAGCACTATAAAGGGTACTTAGTCATCATTGTCCTAAAATCTGTAAAATGTATCCAGTCTTTGTAATACTGATGGACTAAGACAGTGTTGTAGATATACTATCATTTTTTAATTCCTATGAAAATTTTATAGATTTCCTATGTTTTAAATTTTCTGATAAGTCATAATTCTTAATTTACATTATTTATATTCAGACTATTGTCCTTATTTTTGTTACTGTTATCATAACACAGCCTGAATTTGAGATATAGTAATTATGAGTTCAGTCCCTATGCTGGGCAGTGTTTATTTGGACTCAGTGGAAGTATGTGAGCAGTAATTGAACAGTACTATAAATAAGAACTAGATGATATACCCTAAATAGAAAAATAGAACTTAATAATCCATAATAATATTTTTCTAACACTAGATAAAATGCCTATCTCCAGGATGAAAATGGATTTGAACATGTCTCACATGTAAAGTATCCAAATGAAAAAATGGTAGCTTTATAAGTTATACATTTAAAACAGATCTCGGAGTTGGATAGACTCACTTGAGAATCTCTTTTAACATATGTAAATTTTAAAAATATATTATTATGGATTATTAAGTTCTATAGATTATCATTATATGACACTTAATATATATCAGTGTTTCCCAAATGGTGCAGCACACCTCAAAGGTGCACCAGAACAGAATAGCAGGTGAGGCAGAATGATTGAAAGACAATCAAAGATTTAGAAACAGTTTCAAAAAATTCATATGATTTCAAAATTTAAAATATTATTACGGATTACTTGTAATTGCATGCATGAGTCCCAGTATAAATAGTTATAAATAATTATTGACCGATTTTATCATTGTGGTACTTTGGCATTATATCAAATATTAAGAATATAGTAACTAGTGACTGCAAATTGAAGGAGTGAGTTATCAATTATAATGTTCTGACTTAAAATCCATTGTTATCTCCCTTTAACACAATCTCTTGGTTTTTTTTATTTTTAAATGTACTTTCTATCACATAAAATTTGGAGAGGCACAACCAAATTTTCATTCTGAAAATGTAGCCCAGAGAAAAAAAAAGTTTGGAAACCACTTATATAGAGTAACAGAATGTTTTATTGCAATAATATTAAATCTCTTGTGTTTTCTTGTTCTGCAGCTTAATCTCCATCAAATAAAGAACAGGTAAGTGGAACAACGATTTATATTTGAATTAGCTAAAAAATATATATAAAAAAATAAAAACTAGGGAAATCTCAAAGATAATTTCTTGAAGAAATTCTTTTTGGTTGGAATATTATTAAATTTGACTGGCCATGTCAGAAATATGCAGTCATCTGTATAGATTTAACAGTTGCCAAAACAAAAAGATCTCTGCAGAATTAATGAAAAATGGAATCAGCTGCATATATATATATATATATATATATATATATATATATATATATATATATATATAGGATATATAGGAGGAGGAACAGTGGAGTAATGGATAGCAGCTTGGAATCGTAGATCCGAGTTCGAATTCCAGTCAAATCCATTACATTCACTTATGTGCTAATACCCTTGGGAAAAGTGTGAATCCTCTTCTTCTCCCTCCAGCTATGGGTAAATAGCAGGACAGACTGAGTTCTATAGCCTTGGATAGCAACTGGTCTAGGAGAAGGACAACTCTGAATTCAAAACCTGCGGAGGGTCGTTTGGGGACCTTGTGGCACTTAGTGCACCAGGTCTCTGAATTCAACCCTTCAAACAGTGTGGCTGGTCCTGCACGAAACTTTCACCACTATAATCAAATTTCATGTGCCGTTGTCGGGCTGTCATTTTCCTGGGAACTGATCTGCTTGGCCCTCATATTTAACGGGAGAGTCATCTATATATATATATTATTTTATTACTAGAGTTTATAATAAAAACATGTTGAAATCACTACACAAAAGTTTTCATTTTTCAATACGTTGATTGTCTTTCTTCAGGCGATGGTAAGTAACTAGTGATTAAATGATTTTTAAGAAAATTTATAAACAAAGTGTTACCTGTTTTCAAAAAGTTAAAGTGGGGGAGAAACATAAGGTCAGAATTAAAAATAGACCTGTGGATATGTCTTGAGTAATCAATTAAATGTCAGATTTATGCTAGATAGAAAAGTAAGCTCAGAGGGTGGAAGTGGGTGAGTTAATTTTTTATGTCATGATAAACTGAAACATAGACAGGCCATCATTGACAATTGTGGAAAGTATGTCAGTGACAAATGTATTGTGATTATAGACAAATATGACATGTTCAATTTTTTGAAAGGATGTTGAAGGGAGGGTTAGATTAATCTGATGTAAAGTTGACAGAAAAATCTTTTTAAAAAAAATTTTAGATTCAGGAAACTTCTTAAAGGGGCCTGCAGATAAAATTCAAAAAATGTGGAACATCTATATAAGATATTAATAATATTAACTGGACAGCAATACATAGCAATATTAAAGCTGAATAAACAAAATAAGGTAATTACTCATAGAGGGTGAACTCTTATATACTAATAAATAATGGCTATAAGAAATGGTAATATGTAATTTTTAAAATTTAACTATATTTTGTACATTATTTACATTATTCGGACTATTGTCCTCATCTTTGTCGCCATATTTATTACAACGTTTTGGCCGTTGTACACTCCAGCCTTCTTCAGGTGGTTGGAATGTCGAACTGAACCTTTTATTTCGCTCACTGGGGTAGACTGTTCTAGTTCCACATGCCATGTTTAATGGATGTCACTTATCAGTTATCTCCTGTTAATTTTCCCTCTGAAAGTTCTCTAGTGCATAAAGGTGTTGATTAGATCCAGTGACAGGACCCAAAGAGTGTGAGTTCAATACCCGGTTAAGGAATTGGTCAACAGAGTTGTTCTTAATCCGCTGTTCTTTGTTATGAATAAGAACAGATATTCTACAGTTCATAATAATGTCAAGCTCCTCATTGGAAAGATCAGAGTACTTTCTGGCAAACTCCAAAGCCAAAGTAAAAAGATCACTGGAAATAGATGCATAATAATCTGTTGTAGAGTAGTTTCACAGTGGAGGCTTGTATTTCACTAAGTTGGTCCTAAAATAGGTTCGACATACAAAACGTTAGGAACTTGATATAATAGGTAATGACGCAGAGAAATCTAATGGTGGTCACTGATAATTTTAGTATCCAACTAACGTTTGTCCGACATCGACTGACTGACCAACTTCACTGAGCCACTGGCGACTGCTACTACTCCTACTTATTATAGGTGGGAGAGTCTATTAACTACAGAATAGGTGTGTTCCACTATAACATAATCCATGATATCAAAATGGATAAATGAACAATTCCTTTTAACATTTATACCATTAATTAAATTTATGACATCTGCGGTATTAATCCATTGTACAAGTCCAAGGCGCTTTCTAATCAACTGGTTGACTCTATTGAGGATGATCTTGCTAATTCTACCAATTTCTGGCCTGGTGGGAAGATTTTACGGTCCTTGATTGTGACATAGGATTCTTTAATACAGAGTTTGATGGGTTGTTGATTTTTAGTTTATCAGTTATATTTTACTTGTTGCATTAATTTTGTCAACTAAATTAACAATATTATTATCTACTTTTCTATAATTTCTAGTTAAGTTTTTTCTAATTAAAATATTATAATATTTAGGAGTAATTTTGTAGAAGTTGGCTGTTTTGTCAGATTTGACAAAAACCTTGTCAGACGAATGAATTTCCTTTAACAACTAAGTCTAGATGTCTCTGAAAATTATTTTTATATTTATGAAAAGAAATACTATTAAGGATTTTTAATAAATCATTTTCAAAACCATATAACAGATTTCAAGCTTTTGAAACCATAAAAATCCAGTTATTTCAAAAAATTGTTATCATGAGGGAAGAGATAAGCCTTCCATCTCATCTGTCTGAGTAAATCCTCAGTTTTATGAACTGAAGAAGCCTATATATATATATATATATATATATACTAGAATCATCCTAAGGAGCCAGACAAACCTACCTAGGTTTCACCTAAATGGATCTTCAGGGTAAAACTGGCTCTACTTATTGTATTGAGCACTCTACGTTTAGTCTTACTAATCGTTTGGATTTTTTTCTTTGGACTTGGAGCTTAAGCACTTGACAATTGGTTTTGTATTGTATTGATGTTCTTGGTTCTTTCTTTTTTTAATCCCAATTTTTTCCTCAGGCACCGATTTGTTCTATTACAAGTTGAGCTATCCGAGGTTTTCCAAATGAGTATTACCATTTATATATATATATATATATATATATATATATATATAATATATATATAGAGAGAGAGAGAGAGAGAGAAAGAGAGACTACTTTTTGTTTCCTTTATATGCTGAGTCTCTTTACAACTTCTTATCCTTTCTAGCTCTAAGTAATTTTTATCTCCTTACTACTCCTCCCAGTTCCTGTTATGTGAGTATTAAATTTTCTTTTTCCAAGCCTTCTTTCCTCATTATGTACCCCAGTTCTCACAAGGTGAAATTTAATTTTTGTCTTTCTTTACAAAAGCCAGATCAGATAAAAAAATACCGTATTACTGCTATTTCTGGGCTGGAGTTGCCCAGTCCTCACTTACCTGTCTTGATAGAGTTCAAAAGTGTCTATGCAGCCTTGTAGATGGAACATTATTTTTGACCCACCCTACAACCCTTTTCCCCACAGATGAAATCTTGTCAGCCTCTTACTGCTGTATTGCTATTTCCATGGCAAGTGTATATTCCTTGGTTCCACCATTCCTGACCTTTGCAGCTGGGGTCTGGCATGCCACGTACCCAAAGATGAATCATCCTTATTCCCTTTGTATACAATTAGTAAGACACAAGTTCCACTCAGACAGCTTCTTCCTAAGAACTGCTGCTTTGTGGTACAGATTCTCAGCAGGATGTTTTCCTGATCACTAAAATCTTGATATTTTCAAGTCTGGGGTTAACTGTTCTCTTTTCGATATAATTCAATAGGAGTAGATAGGTTCACCAATCATCCGGTTCACAATTCTCCCCAGTATTTTAAATAGGAGTATCCATAGTTTATCCCTAGTTTCTTGTTTAGGATAGGGTTTCTGATTCCTTCTAAATTCTACTGTAACTCTATACTTCTAACATCTCTGCCTAAACTATGAATTTTATACTTTTATTGGGTTTCCAGTTCCTTCTAAAGTCTTTTCCTTATCTTTCACTTCCAGTAGTCCCTTGCTTAGAGTGAATCAATTAAAAAAAATAACCTGATGAACTGCACTTCTTGACTTTACTTATGCTCATACAACATCACACAGTAACCCTCTACCTTGAGTAGCTCTTGGGCCTTGTATTGGGTGAACATTACTAAAAAAAACAAAAAAACATAACCTTGAAGCAGGGATCACCATTAGTTTAATAGCCCAATCTGGATCACCATTTCATCAACATCCCATCCACTATTATTGGCAGACATTTTTTATATTATATTTTGGCATGTATAAAATAAAATGTATGTAACCTAATATATCTAACTATGGATGAAAATTATTGTACAGAGTGAAAATAAATGAATGCAAGTTTTAAAAACATCATAATGCAAAGTAAGCAACTGTGAAAGCAATAACATATATTTTAATATAAATGGATATGAAATGGGGTTTATGAAATTACAATAAATTTTCAATTGTTCCTCCATTTTGTTGTATAACCAAGGTTGCACATTTGATCAAATTATTAATAGACAATCAATAACTTAAGGTGTACACTCAGCTTCTAAGGAATGTCTTCCACTTGAAGGTATATCATGTAGTGACTTTATGATTAAAAAACTTTTCTATCAGATGAATAATTGTTGATAGAGCAAAATTTAAATTGTTTTATAAGCTCTCATTCTTGAAAAGTTTGAAACAATGAAAACATTGCATGATATTCCTTCAAGTGGGAGAAGCATTCAGAGTGAAATGGCCTTCTTACCAAAAGAATATGTGGGGAATAAGAGTGATTCGACCCTGTGGATGAAGCAGGATGGGTCTTGGCTGTAAACATCTCCTGTACAATTATATTGTACAGCAGATGTTTACCTTATTTGGTGTTATTCTCCAAGATTACAAAGAGGCAATATGGAATTTGCAGTCCTGTCATTAATAATACAATTATTTAACATACATGTATATAATGTAACAATTTAATAATAATTTTGAAAAGACTTATTGAAGTTTTTTCTTCCAGTTATCACTTTTATCTTTATTTCTCTCTTTTTCTTGTTCATCATTTATATTTTGAAGATTGACTGACTCGACTGCTCGAAAATTGCTGAACCATTGTCGGCCATATTTGATCCATTTGAACCTGCGTGGGTGTACGTGTCTCGGGGAAGCATCATTTCTAGCAATAAGTGCTTGTAGTAACTTACAAGATCTTAATTTGTCAGAGTGCACATCTCTCACTGTAAGTTAACACATACCTGCTTCTATACACATTCGTGTATATATATATATATATATATATATATATATATATATATATGTAATGTAAAAGTGAATATTGAGGTCAACACCCAACTGTGACAGTCTGTTTCATGCTTAAATGTAATCATCAGGCCTGAAGATTGTGTTTAAGCATGAAACAGACTGTCACCATTGGATGTTGCCTGCAATGTCCACTTTTACATTTACATATGCTCTATCCCTGATACTGAGCACTTTAAGCCATAAATATAGTATACATTAAAACTATATTTTTATCATATATATATATATATATATATATATATATAAAACAGAAGATGTCTGTCTGTGTGTATATATGCTATTTATACATGTCCACATTTCTTGACTGATTTTGAGGAAATTGTACACGCATGTTGCAAATTTACCAAGAAAGGTCAATACCAATCTCAAGGTTTGGCAGAAAAATTGATAAAACTAAAGGTGGGTCTAACTTTTTGCAAAAACCAAGGTAAAGTTACACATATACAACATTTTTACTGCATGAGCTGATGTTCTTTGTGCTTAATGCAAAACATAGCTCATGTTACGAGGTTTATGTAGAGTCCTTGATAGTTTTCTGGCTTCACACAAAAAATTGCAAAACCTGTGAAAGAACTGGGTTTTTCATATCTATTTATTTTTCATACTACTTAAAATAAAAACTTGAATAATTTCCTAATTTTTTATCTGATTTTCTTCAAATATATCGCAAAGAAATTGCCATTATGCAAGGAATAAGATAGTGTGGTTTTAGTCCTACTCACTTCCCCACATATAACAAAAATCCACAAAAACTGTTCAAAAAGCCTATTTTTCATTCATAACTCCCTGGTTTTTCATCTAATGCTTTACTGAAAATCTGAAACATTGAAACAATTTAACCCCAAGCAACGACCACACAAGAAGGTTTTATTGAGGGAATTCCTTTATTAAGAACAATGAAACACTTGCAAAGGACATACCATAAAAAAGATGAGGGTGATGAGTAGGTTAGTATACCAACGGATGATGCATGTAAGCAGGGATGCAGGCAGACATTTCTAGACAGGGTGGGTGGGTATACAGTGCAGTGTTGTTATACAATTGCAGCCATGTACATCCAGACAATGCTGGGTATCTTGGCTAGATATATATATATATATATATATATATATATATAAAACTATGACTGAAATCTTTAACAAATATTAAAGACATCAAATATATATACAGTGGAACCTGAACTTCTGAACATTTCCACGTACAAAAAACTCACCATAGGAACAAAAATTTTCCACTTATAAATTAGTTAGACTTATGAAATTAAGAATAGGCCTCCCACCACTGCATTTCAAATTAGATATTTGATATAAATGTACCATAAATACGTAATCTTATCTAAATATACTGTATTTTATATTTTTATGTTTTATATATTATACTATATATCTTTTATATAATAATATAATACCATAGTATTATACAGTATTACAATACTTTTTTATACTGTATTTTTATACTGAACTGCACTCTACTAAATATTTGCAGATATATTTTATACTATATTTTTTATTTTTATATGTTTGTTTTATATACAGTGTAGATTATATTATAATATATTTTATATACAGTACTCTATTATAGTATTATACAGTGCATATTTCTATACAGTTCCATCACACTAGATATAGTGTGATGCTACAAACATTGCATCATCCTGCTCAGTCCTCTTTGTTACAGATTAAATTCGTAGGTCGAGGCTCCACTGTATTATTTAATAATCTGTGGTGGGGTTCTCTGAATGTTATTTTTTTTATATATACTGTATTTGGGGTGGGGATAAAAAAGGCCATCAAAAGGTCACAACTTGATTATAATATTACAAACAAAATCATATACAAGATACAATGAAATAAACATAGAAATAAAAATGACAAATTGCTTTAGCATACATTTCAGAGAAATTATTATATATTTTAAAGAACAGATATGTATACAGAAATAAAAAAAGATTTTTGCTTATCTGTTAGTGGCAACATATTTTATCAGAGACTATTCAGAACATCTGCCTTCTTTGGCAGTTGAAAAGTTTTGATTTTTGTTTCTTTTGGTGGTAAAACGCTTATTCTGATGCATCATGGGAGTATTCTATATTTCATTTAACTTTTTTATGATCTAACTTTTTTTTTCTTTATTGTTAATTACCATTCTTATCTATATTTTAAAATTTTTTTTATTACTTAACTTTTAATTTTTCTTTTTTAATTTTGGTTCCAGACTACTACATAGTCTAGTAATAATGGTTAGGGGTTATTTAGTAATTTATTTATTGCTATCACTACAAATCTATAATTAGCTAGGACCCTTTACTAAACTAACAATTTACTTAAAAAACTTTTACACACATACATTTTTAAAGGGGAAATACTTGGCTATGCATGCAATTCACATCAAGAGTAACATTAATAGCTAACTTCTGATTATATAAAACATTACTTGATATATTACAGTTCAAAAGTTTGAGGCCACCCCCGATAATTTTTTTTTTAAATTGACTCAAAAAGTAGTTGTTTTGTACTTTAAATAAGAGAAAATTATTATACATGGTTAAAAAAAAATGAGACATGATTTTTATTAGGAATTTTATTGACAAAAAGAGAAAAAGCATCTTATTAAATTTTGCTCTCATCAAAATATCCTCCTTTCGCCTTCATTACTGCAGTGCAAATTTTTGTTTATTCATTGCAAAAATTTCTCAAAGTATAGGTTTGATAATTGATTCCATTCTTTCTCCAATGACTCTTAGAGCACTTTTTTCATTTTTTTTTTCACTCTTCTGTCAAGTTCATCACATGCTAATTCTCGGGGTGGCTTGAAACTTTTGAACTGTAGTCTATATATAACTAAAGAAATTCAAATTTTCATGGTATAAAATAATGTCTGTCAAGGAAAATATAACTTCTGAAAATCAATGAAATTTACCTGCAAAACTCAGGGTAGAGACATTTGTGAGTGAACAAATTTATTTTATCTATTATTATATAATGTGTACTCTGTGGTGTAAGGGTTACCTGACCAGAATGAGAAATACGTTTGAGAAAGGTATGAATCCATCTCTTCTTTCTCCAGCTATGAGTTAAATAACAGGACAGACTGGGTCCTATAGCCTTAGGTAGCAACCAGTCTAGGAGAAGGAAACTCTGAGTTCAAACCCCCTGCTATGGTCATCAGTAAAAGGATGGACCCAAAATGCAATTTGCAGGTTGGGAACACTAGAATCAAGCAGATGCAGAAGTTTAAATATCTGGGAAGCATTCTGACAGAGGACAGTAAATGTGACACTGAGATCTGTAGATGTATTGGGATGGCCAAGGATGCATTCCAAAAGCTGGGCAGAATATTACTAGACAAGAGGATTTCTTTGGTAACAAAGAAAAGAATACTTAGCTGTTACATGACATCTGTCCTTCTTTATGACAGTAAATGTTGGACGATTTCCTCAAAGATGAAGACGAGACTCAAGGCGACAGAGATGTGGTTCTACAGAAGGTTGCTAAGGATATCTTGGACCAAGTGTGTGAGCAACGATGAGGTCTTAGAGAGGATGCAAACAAGGAGGAAGCTTATACTTAACATCAGGAAGGGTCAGGTGAAGTTTCTGGGACACATAATGAGGAAGGAGGGCCTGGAGAATCTGATACTCACAGGTCGAACAGAGGGAAAAGAGACAAGGGAAAACAATGCATGACATATCCAGTGGGCTTAAGCAAGTGGATTACAGAACGTAGTCTGGGGGAGGTAGCAGAGAAAAGGAACTTGTTGAGAACTGCAAGGGATAGAGGGAGGTGGAGAGTCATGATCACCTATAACCTGAAAGGACATGATAAATAAAAAGAAAGCTACCTTGTAGGTCATGACTCTTTAGGCAAAGGCTAGAAGAAGGTAACTTCAAAAACAAATCCACCTCTTAGAGTTGCCTCCATAATGTTCACACAGCTCCCTTATACCCTTGCCTTTGTACAATGGTATCATAATCACATCTCTCCAGTCCTTAGGGACTCTCCCAGCATTTCAGGTGTTCAGGATCATTCTGTGCATGATATCAGCAAAGTGATCACAACCATACTGAAGGATTTCAGCAAAGATGCCCTCCTTTCCAGTTGCCTTTTTTGCTGATAGATGCTTTTTACATTACTCTATGAATGATGCCTCTCCATACATACATACATGCATACATACTAATGTCATAAAATGAACATGTGACATCTAGCCAACCAATGAAAGCAAAACAACATAGAATTTAAAAATGTAAACAACTCCACATTAACCCACTTCCAAAAAGTTTTGATTAAGCTAAATAGTGAAACATGTTAAATTTATGAAGGTTTTTCTGCTTGTTCCTTAATCATTTTGTCAGCCATTTTCTAAAATTTCTGATGAAGTTAAATAACTAGTGAAACATGATAAATTTATAAAGGTTTTCCTACTTGTTCTTTATCTAATCATTGTCAGACTTAATTCATATCAATTCACACATATTTATACAAATACATTAACTAAATTAACAACTTTTTGTCAAGGTTGACAATGGTTGTAACAGATCCGTGAAAATGATTTACTCAAATTCTAACTTGCCTCTCTCTCACATACCAGAGGCAAAATATCTAGTAATGGCTAGATGTGGATTCAGATCTTTCCTGAAGGCATTTACCTGTAACAAATATAAGTAACTTCAGCTAAAATTTGATTTCTGTTTTGCAGTTAATTTCATTTTCCATAACAGTTACTAATATTCTACTTTGTAACTTCGAACACATGACTACATTGATATAAATTTGATTTTCTTGCATTATCAGAATTACCTGTCAGCTTGGCAAGCTGAAGCCTCAAGCCTTAAAATCTAGGTGTGGGTCTGCTAGCCAAAGTGTATAATATTTTTAACACAGATATAAGTCTTTCTCATTCATATTATTATGGGTTATACACACAACATGCCCACACAATCAGTAAGCTCAAACTCAAAACTAGAAGTAACATCAATGCTGGATATTGTAGAATTTCAAATTTGTTTTCACTAAATCTGGTCCATTGTGTCAGATGTTATGTGATCCAAAAAAGAAACAAATAATAAACCAGTCAGATTGTATCATTTTAGTTTTCAAAACTCCTAAGCCCCTATTTAACATTCTTCCATCTTTATCTAGTTGTGGCAGTCAAGGATTAGGAAAGCTCTCACAACCGGAATACCTCTTTACTTAAATCTGGCATTGTTATGGATCCTTACATGACTCGTATAAGACTAAATACTATCTTTTTTTGCATTGAAAAACTCAATATCCTTTTGTTGCTTGTTATAAACATGAGAATAAAATATCAAACCTACTATAAAAGAATGGCATCAAATACTAAAAACAAGGAAAGATGAAGTAATATGTCCATATTGGACACTCCATGAAAAAAAATAAGAGCCACCTCCAATCTGCATGGTATGCCAAGAACTATATACAATAAAACACATAATAACAAATTGTAGCAACTTTAGTCAAATCCATTTAAAATACTACCAAACAACCAACATGAAAGAACTCTTTCATGACATTAGTCTATATAATATCATACAATTTCTTAAAGAAATCAAACTGTATTCCAAAATATAACTTCAACAGAACTACAATATAAATTATTTATATTACTGCCTCTAGAAATTATGTCTGCACAAACATGTATATCCACAAAAGCTGAGTATCATCTATCATGTTTCCAACTGTGAAAACAATATCATATTTTTATTACTTCAAAGCTCCCAAGAAAATCTGGTATTAAAAGACTCATAAGGAGTTGATGTGCCGTTAAACAAAGAAATCAATCGATCAATCAGAAAATTAAATAAAGTGCTATATATTCTTGCATGCAGTTAATTTTTTTTAACCATTTCCCCCCAAGCAAGGCAACAAAGCCACTAAGAAAGATGGAGTCACTGACTGTTAGAGAATATAAAAAAACACTATTAAAGGGAGAGAACAGCAAAAGAACAAGAATTAAAAGGATGGTAGATAATGATTTACATTTCATTTAAATTTTTGGAGATTAAAATAGACTGAGGTTAAGGAGGAGTAGATGATTTTTTTGTTTACTTGTTTACTCTTATTTCTTTTCAATGTATCTGTCATGAGAAGGTTTCGTTAAGAAGACAAAGGCCAAAATAATTATCACTATCATCAGTGGCAATAGAAACTGGCTAAAACTAAAGTATAATGTACCCTCAGGGTTGCCCACCAGAAATACATGCAGGTATACATACCCATGCATGAAATGGCACTTCAAATACCCCAGTATTATGCAAAATCAATATCAGTTAATGTAAAATTAAATGTCTTTTGTGCTTTCATATTGAGTCCCTGTGTGGATTTCTGGATTGAGGAGTTATTATTTACATTATTTACTGTCTGACCAATGATCTCACTTTTGTTGTTGCTATCATAACATTTTGGCCATTGTGATCTACAGCCTTCTTCAGGTGTATGTTGATCTAAGTAACCTTCAGGGAATTCTTCAACTGAACCCTTTATTTAATTTACAAGGGTAGATTGTTTTTGTTCCACCATCCATATCTAGGAACATCTTGTCTTTGGTTAATTGTACTTTTCAATACAGCTCAGTTGTTGCTTGCCATGTATCTACTAATTCTGAGTATATCTGTACCCCCCAGCCCATTTTGAGCTCCCCAATTTTTGTCCCCTTTTCATATTCCTTGTTTTTTGTTTTTTAAAACTCTATTCCTAGGACAGTGCTCTACTTTTAATTGCCCAGGGTTGCCATATTTTACTTTATTTGAACATATCACATACTTCAATCACAGATTCAGGAATGAGAACAATTGCCAGGTAAGTATTTCACCCAATGAAAAAATGTCAATATAACAACAATAATATGTTTAAAAATCTTTCAAAGATGTTTTTCAGGGCAAACTGAGTTGAAGAAGTTGATATTTTTTAAAGTACTCTTAGATGCCAAATAAATGGGGAAGTCATAATAAATAAGATATGTAAAGAATGCTAATATTAGCTGTTGCCTTATGATGAAACATTTGGCATTAATTGTCAATGCAGCTATCAGTTGAAATTTATAAAATCTTTCTATTAAAACAATTTTTCAGGACAATAAGTTTCTCAAACCCTGTAGCTGTTATCATACTTTCATGTATTGATGGGTTTTCCTTCCTAAACTTTCATTTGAAGTAGTGTGAAATGATTATGTCATTATCTTCTCTTTGAGTTACATGTGCTATTGATTTTAGTTGTTGCTGCTGTTGAAAGTTGTCAAGTGAATGGGGGAGGGTAATTAATGGTGAGGTTGCAAAAACATGAGAATCTAATAAATGGTAAATAGTGCAAAGGGGAAATGAACTATAAGAAGACTTTGAAGAAATAAAACTAAAAATAAATGTCTAAGTAAAATGCTTTAATAGAATTGAAAATATTTCTATGATGTTTTGCCAATGTTATTGTTATATTGTGTTATTCTACAACACGTGATCAGTAGTCCATTTCTCCCCCTCTCTTACTTTACTATACACTTTATATCTCTTCAACATAATATATAAATATAGGTAAAATCCTATTTACAAATCCACTACAGTTACATATATAAATATTAATATGTTATGGATGGGAAAAAAATCCCCTAAATTAACTATTAGGAATGGGGTGTTTATTTAGCACCAGAGATTAACATTGTTATTATGACAACTAAATTTTCAATCCCTCATTGAAAGTTATTACTTTGGAATTTACCAGTCATTTGAAATTAACTTGAATAATTGACTAAGAAGCATAAATCATTCTATTTTATTTGTCAGTTGTACACAAAACTTTCCAGAATATTCTGTAAAAAAAATATGCTGGAAACTTTTTCACACATCTTATATTTATCTATGAATATATAACTTTTCAAATATCATGGAAAAGAATTTTTAATTCTGAAACTATTTTTGTTCTTTAGGTATTTTGGTAATCTTCAGTTTCTCAGTTTGGCTTTCTGCTACAAATTCACAGACAAAGGAATGATGTATTTGGCAGAGAGCAAATGTTGCAAGAACCTTGAACATTTAGATCTTTCTGGATGCCTTCAGGTAGAGAATAACTAACATTACAAAATTTTCTAACTTCCTAACTTTTCCTTTATGAGTTCAGTGGCCATACTTCTTTTGTTTTCCATTGTAAAATTCAATTATATTCTTTTGCCCAAAGGTTTATAATTTATAGGAAAATTGTATGCATTCATTATAAGTTCTTTTATGTAATGAAAATTAATATATATAGTCCTTGATTTATAATCACTTGACTTGTGATACTTCAAAGTTAAGATGATTTTTTTCATTAAATTTCCAATTTCCTATAGTAATCAATGAATAAAAACTGAAAGTTCAGAAAATCTAAACACTATAGGAATTAAATTGTATTTTATATTTATCAACCAATAAAATTCCATCAGTAGTTTTGTTTGATAAACAATAACAACTCCCTTCACCACTCCCACAAATTTGAGAGAAAGATTTTCACAAACCAGTATGAAATTATTTTCTAACTAATGAAAACCTTGTATTCAAAAAGTTTACACCTCTATGTGAAATTAGATTTTGGATCTCCCTTTCAGATATAAAAATAGAAACATACTGCTTTTTGGGGTTCAAAACTATATCAGAGGCCAGTTTGATCTGCATGTGCATACACACCGGGCATGTGCCATCAGTAACTACTTGTAGGCAGCTTGTGACCTTTATGTAGTAAATCTACAAAAAAATAAAATATTTTACATTTTATGCATAATAATCAGAGTAACCTTAATAATTTTGTTGCACCACAGAAGGAATGTAGCTGCTGATCTATTTCATTCAGGATAGGCACTGCCTATCTTGCCTACCTAGATGGCATGTCCTTGCTTCACACACACATGCACAGCCAGTAGCCACCAACAAAGGCTTTGTCTACAAACTCACAAACACATTAGGCTGTCATAAAATAAGCCTGTCCACACATTTGACACTGCACTAAGAATTCTTAATTACTTTATAAAACAAACTTCACTGTAAGGAAAATTGAACACTTTATTGTTATTTTGTATTCCTGAAAAATATATAAATGTTATTTCAACTGACATTCTGCTTCTACTTTTCCTCCCAAAAATAACCTTTTATATGTTTCATTTAAAAGATGTGTTGTTGTTGTTAAATGTTTGGAATCTTGACACTCAGATAAAAACAAAAACCTGGGGAGACAGTTCTCAACAACACAAATGTCAAGCACAAAAATTCAATTTCTATTTAATGGAAAAGTAATTTTTACATCAAATTTTTCTCCATAACTTCTTATTACTGACATAAATTTTATAAAAACTGATTAAGAACCCCTCCCACCTTCTTTTTAAATGCCATGTCACTTCAGAAAGCAGATAATGGCTCTCCACAGATTCATTTTCTTTATTATCTGTCGTGATCTTTTGGGAAAGATAGTAGAGTTGTTTCCTGTTAACCTACACAGTTTTGAATTCAAAAGATTGGCTGCCACCCACAGCTAGACAGTCCAGTTTACTCTGCTATTTAACCTATAGCTAGGTGACAAGAGATGGGTTCATGCCTTAAGAGCATTGTAAACAATGGATTCATTGGGAATTTGAACTCTGCTAGCTGATTCCACTTTCTGTATTGATAACTGTTAAACTACCTGCATTTGTAATAGTTTTTGCTATTTGGGTGTTTAATTATTTAACAGTTCCATGGCCATGGGAAATATTGTTGACCCTACTGAAATGTATGTGTCATCTGATAGTGATTAAGGAGTTATTTATGCCATTATAAAAATGTTGATTGACTAATATCATTTAAACATAAACAATGAACAATGGTTTTTTTTGCAATTAATTATAATATAATTTATAGTAATTTAGTGTTTATCTTAACTTTATTTTAAAAATGAAAATATTCAAAAACAGGAACTTAATTCCTATTCTGTGTAGAAGACATTCAACTTATAATTTTTAAATTTATAGTCCAATTTTTGGTTCTTTGCTCTATTAGAAATCAGAGAAAACCTGTGTTTTTTAAAACTTTGTTAGTTTTCTGACAGACCCATAGATTTGGTGCACCCAGTAAGAATATATCTCCCCAAAAAGAGATTGTGAGAGCAGTTCATCAACCACAACATCACAATAAATGGTCTATGTAATTTGCTATTGTGTGTAGTTACACTCCCTTTCATATTTTAAATATTTGGAACAATTATAAATTGGCAAGCACAATGAATACTAAAAGTAGGCTTACCAATTCTGTCAAAATATAATAAAGGGCATAAAGAAAACATATACGAGGTTTGATCAAAAAGTATCAGGTAACAGAGTAAAAAAAATGCGGAATGAAGAGCCACTTGGCACAGATTGACCTTGAATTCTGTCACGCATACACACTAAATTATAATCTTGCTCACTTCTGTCATTTATAGCAGTGCTTGGAAAGAAAGTGTGTAGAGTGTGGTTGTTTCACCACACCACAGAGGTTCCATCAGTGATCATAGTTTTTGGTCAAGAACAATATTCTCCAGGTTTGACAACCACCATTTTCCCCAGATCTTGCTGCTTGCAACTTTTTCCTCTTCAACAATCAAATCCCACATGAAAGGAACACAACTTCAAGATATCTATGAAATCCAAGAGAATGGGGCAGTTACTTGCCATCCCAAAAAAGGAGTTCCAGGAATACTTCCATCAATGGAAATCATGCTAGATAAAGTATGTGGTTTCAGAAGTGGACTACTCCAAAGTAGATTAAATGCCAAATTGATATGTGTTGTATTTTTCTTTTTATAACACCAGTCCTGGTATTTTTTTTTTTTATCAGACCTCATATAGTTATCTTTAACTCAATTTCTGTAGATATACAATATAATGAAAAATGGTATTCCAGATAGATTCAACAAAGGACAAGAACAGAAAGAGCTACATAAAGTATTGTCCTTTCTAATAAAGGAAATAAGAATTTATTTCACAACAGGTTCTTTAATCATAGAGATAAGGTATTGAGGCATTCATTCATGTATAATATCTCTTGAGCAATTTGATCTGGCAAAGCCCATCCTTCTTCACAGCCAAAGTCCTCCAATTTGAAGGCTCACCTTGGTTACAAACACATGTCCATTCATTCCATTGGGAAACCCTCCACCATTTACTTCAGTCTAGGAAGCTCTCCACCTAGTGAGGCTGTGTTATCATCACAATGGCTGCATACGTATTGTGTTTGATGGCTGTTGACCCTATAAGAAGGTTCATCCACCCTTTGACAGGTTTTTAATCCTGCTGGGTGTCTAACTATCCTCCTCACTGGAAAAGCCTGATGGGAGAATCAGTTTAGTCATTGATGACTCAACCATGCTGCAAGTAGTACTGACTTACATGGTACCAGTAGCCTTTGTAGAGTGATGAAACATGAAATAAATTAAATATTTACTGTTTTATTATCTTCCTATTTCAGTTAACTCCCCTGGGATTCAAGCAACTCTCTGGCAATTGTGACCAATTGAAAACATTCATTGTTGATGATTTTCCAACATTAACAGATGGATACATTCAGGTGAATAATAAGCAAAATGAATCAAAGTTCCTGTTCTGCATAAAATGTTTTTTCTTTATTGAACTGGAGTGGGAACAAGTAAACATGGCTAATTTTTTTTTTCAATGATGTTCACCCTGTACAAGGCCTAAGAGCCACTCGAGGTAGAGGGTTGCTGAGTAAGAGGCACAGTTTATGAGGATATGTGGGGAAGATAATGACTGACCCTCCATTTGAACAGGTTAAGATTGTAATGATTGGGAAAGCATCCTCTTGGGAGTCGGTTCCATAAAGCAGCGGTTCAATCAAGAGTGCATTAATCAAAAATAATAATACATGTAATCTGTACTTCAAATTTTAGGCTTATTCATAATTGGTTTCTAATGTGCATACTTTTTAATTAAAATATAGGTACATATAAGAAGATACAATAAAATGCTATGAATTAATGTTTATTAATCTCATTTTTTATGAAAAACTTATTTAGAGTGGTTTGCTGCATGGTATTCTTCTGTTCTTCATATAATTAACTTACAAATTAAATTTTTATCAATGTTATTCCAAATATCTATAATTTCTTCTTTTAATTTGTCGGTATTTTCAAAAAATTTGCCTTCCATTTTTCTTTTCATTAAATTCCATATATTTTCAGTAGGGTTTAAATTGGGTGACGATGGTACCCAGTTTTAATTTAATTTTTTAAAAAGAATCCTGTTATGTATATTTTCTATTTTTGGAAATTTTCCAAACATATAATCATTAGTATTTTAGCATGAAAATTTGATGTATAATCTTTCCATAGTAAATGCATACAGATATTTTATAATAAATGTAAATATCTGTATCTAAATAAATCATCTATTTTTTAACAAAAAATCAGAAATTTCCTTTTAAGACCTTCAAAATAAGCATGAAAAAAATCAAAATATTTAAAAACTTTTAATAAAGACAAATATTCAAATATTTACTTTTATTATAAGCTTATATTATAAAATTTATCTATTTATAACCGTTCATGTTTTTTAAGCATTACTGTAATTAATTAGATAATGTAATACTTGACAAACAAAATAGTTTCAATTTTCGATTTTTAAATTTTAGAAAATTTTTAATTAATTGGTAACTATAAAAGAATCAATTTTCAATTACTATGGTTAAACTGAAGAATGTTTTACTGCACTATTCAAGTACTATGTATGCACTTATTGAATTTTGGTATAAAAAATTTTAGCGCACTAATCAAAAACGCATTAATTGAATGCACATTAATCGAGGGATTTTTGTATACTGTGTAAAACATTTCATCCTCTAGAAAGATTTCATCAGGCAAGCTTAACATAAAATGTTACAACTACTTGTAAAACAATAAAAGAGTTAATTAATACCAAAGAAAATAATAATATGATAAAACTTGCAGGAGGAATTTACTCTATCACCTGTAATGATTGCCACAAGAAATACATTGGAGAAACCTCGAGGGATTTAAATAAAATATTACATGAACACATGAAGGATGTTTTACAAAACGACTCACTCAGTGTATTAGTTACTCACTTTAATGAGTGTGACCATAATTTCAATTTAAAATATTCTGCTTTAATTAATAGGGAAAGCAATTTATTAAAGCAAAAATATATAGAAAGTACTTTGATATCTAGATCACATCCATAGTAAATTTGCATCCAAGTTCTTACATTCACCTTTCTTGGCAGATCTTCTATTATCGTATTGTGGGATGCTTAATAATATGGAATAAAAACAAAAGCATAAGGAAACTGAATTAAATTTGCTTAACTACTTTCCCAGGTATGTCTAAAAAAAAAAACAATTAAAATATTTAAAATTTCAGTCTTTCAAAATCTCTATCTTCAATTTCCTATTGATGTTTAACTATAAGTGACATTTGTGCTTTTATATCTCCCACTCCTTCGTCCTATACATATATAATTCCATCAGCAAAAACATTACTTTAGTCTGATGAAGTCTTTTTACAGGATGAAACATGTTACACAGAATTTTTTCCACTTTCTCATTCATTTGCCCAACATTGTTCTGATATATAGAAATTCATATATGACATTGATCATTAATGATTATATATATATATATATATATATATATATATATATATGATAAAAAATATAAAAGTTGTCACTTAGCTGTTTGATGTTATATTTAGCACCTCTACTCCATATTTTTTAGATGAACCTTTGTGTAATTGTTCCACTTGTCAGGAAGTAACAGCAAATGTATGGCAATTTCCTTGTTTTTGTTATTTTTATAGTTTAAAAAATATTTATGTACTTTTTGTTGGTGTTGGGTTGATTTTTCTTCTTTATATGTGTATGTATGCCTGTATGTATGCACACTCACACACAATTTTTATTTTTAACATACAACGTGTGTTAGCACATACGATACCCTGTCTTCATCAGCCGCCGACCAGGGGTGATATCACGGTTTCGGTGGCTATGGCGGGACCGCCACCCCTGCTGCCACCAGCAGCATTTGCCACCAGGCAGAGTATGAAGATAAGCTAACTAATTGTTCCTTTAAGTAAAATCTATCTGCAATGAAAGTTTCTTGAATGCGTTTGCTGTTATTAACGCACTCATAAAAATCGTTATAGACGACCATGCAAATATCTCACTTGCACATGTTAGGTCGTGATGTTGTGCGCATTTTATTTGCTTGTTTTGATCTCGACCAAATCCAACTTGACGCGTATTGAACAGTTTTTTGAAGGCGATGCGAAACGCCTTTTACACACATAAATGTATATATGTGTGTAAAATTATTAAGTGTTGCCTTTGTACCATTTCTGGCCATAATCTGGGAAAAAACATATAATATTAATCTGTTTTTAAATGTAATTGCAACTTTGCCGAGCTGATGTTGTGCACATGAGTGATGAAAGAACACCGAAAATCCTCATGTACAGCCACGACGGTTCTTGGAAAGGGAGAAGACCTCTTTTTCAGCTACAAGGATAAAATTAAGCAAAGCCTAAATTTCACATCCCTTTGAGGAAGTGGCTTCTGATTGCGTCACGTGGAAGAGTTTGTGCATAAAAACATTACAACTTTTGAGAGGTCTTGCACTGAACACCACTCTAACATTCCTGCAACCTTCATAAGGGGTGCTCTTCCTTGTCCTCTATGTAGAATGTTGTGTGGATTTCAAGGTGGCCTTAAAAGTTGCTGAAGACACAAGCACAAGTAGAGCATCAAGGGTGGAATATGCTGTTGAACACTCATAAGTTTAAAATGACAAGAGAGTTTATTATCATTATCATATATTCCACACTGTAGAAACCCATCTAGTATGAAACTTGCAGTAGCAACACCTAGTATAGTATGGTGTTGCTGTAGTCCTATACTATAACAAGGGAAGTTTACAGGGATAACATGCATACACATACATACATACATCTCAAGTCCATTGTTAACTGGGGCAAAAGATGGTTTGTTAATTTTAACATCTTCAAAACTAAATTTCTCTCCATTAATCATCTGAGAGACCCCTCCTGCTTTCCATCAGCATGGCTGATGCTAACCTCCAGGAGATTGAATTGTTGCACCTTCTCTGGCTAACATTTTCAATTAATGTAAAATGGAAAAACTATATTGAATCCATTGCTAGGTCAGCTGCTAAAAAATTTGGTTCACTGTGTCATGTGAGACAGGTTTTCTCTCCAGAAATTTGTTATACATATCTTTAAGTCTAATATTCATCCATGCTTAGAATATCGCTCCCACATATGGTCTGGTGTCCCTGATGTTTACCTTGAGCACCTCAGTAAATTTCAAAGGACCAGCAGCATCAGTCCTCATCTCATGGCCCAACTTCAGTCACTTTCCCATTACTGTAAGATTGCCTTCCTGTATCTTTCCAATAAATACTTTCATGGTATTTGTTCGGATGAGCTCTTCGCTATGATACATAGACATTTTGAGTTTAAGCATAGTACTAGACTCGTGTTGAGATCTCATCAATTTGCAGTTGAGCTGGCTAGATGTATAAGTTTTTTTTTAACAGAATGTATCTTTTGTTAAAGGGCAAATTACATATAGTGCAACCTTAAATTCAGCAAAAATCAAAGAAAGTTATCAACTGGAGGGTTGGTGTGAGGAGTGTGACTGGGTTACTGTTGAGGAAATATGATATCAGTCAGTAGTACATAAACACACAGACAGAAAGATACATAAACACTCTAACACATAGACATATATACAAACATACACTCAAGATAGATACACATTATTTTTTAAAAAAAACATATTTGGCTTTGTCTTCACTCTTTTTTCTTACATGCCTTTAAATTTTTTTAAAAATAAATATTTATTTTTATAGAATTATTACAATTAATATTAAAATACCAAAATGTGTTTTTTTAATTTCATGCACAGAGATTTTTTAAAATTATATATTTTAGTTAGAGTAAAGGAATCATTTTAGCATCTAAGTTATACCGATAGTATATTTTGTTAAAGATTGTAATGAGCCCACTATTTACATTATTTGGACTATTGTCATCATCTTTGTTGCTATATTTATCACAACATTTCGACCTTTGTATGCTCTGGTCTTCTCTAATGATTCCAACCACCTTCTTCAGGTGGTTGGAATGTCAAACTGAACCTTTTATTTCACTTGCTGGAGTAGACTGTTCTAGTTCCATGTCTAATGGATGTCACTTATCAGTTATCTCCTGTTAGTTCTCCACTGCCTTAACCAGGTACTGAACTCACAACTCTTTGGGTCCTGTCATTGGATCTAACCAATGCCTTTATCCACTGTGCCATGTATCCTTAAGGACACACACACACACACACACACACACACATATATTCATACACGTTTCATTAAATAATATGGACAAGTGTTGTCTATGTATTCTATGTAATTTTTTTTCATAACGTCTGATAAGTTTAATAACATTATCGTTGAACGAAGAAAGAAATTCGCAATATTGATCCATATTTTTTTAATACAATCTAAGCTTTCGGCTTACATGAGCC